CTCCGTTCTTTATTTTATTAAAAACTTATTTATATTCTTATTAAACTATACTTTTAACTATAGCCTCGGAGGGCGCTAAATCCTATTTTAATTATTAAATAATTTATTAAATACTAAATTTAACGCCTTTTTAAATTACTTTTTAAAATACGTATTTATAAAGAGTAGCGGTAATAAACTTTTTTAACTACTAAATAAAAAGTTTAATATATATATTAATATTATTACGTTTAAAAGCTATAATTTAATAATACTTAGCAGAGAGCTCCTATTCTTTTTAAATATTCTTAAGTATATAGATCTTTTTTATAAATATAATATAGGGATATATTTAGTTATATAAAGTTAATAATATAATTAGTTTTATAAAAAGAACTCTAGCTAGATTTTATAAATTATTCGTATTCGAGGATATTAAAAGGGTCGTACTAGGAGTTAGGGCTAGAAGTTATTAATAAAAAATCTCCTATTTTCGTTAATCGTTTTTAAACGCTTTATAGCGAGTCTTATAAGCTCGTTACTCTTTTTTATTATAAATTAAAAGTAATAGTTCGAAGTTTAATAATAAAAAGAATATTATAAAAGGAATAAGGAATACGTCGGAGTTTAAAATATCTAAATTAACGTATTTCTAAACTTTAAAGCCCTCGCTTATAAAATAAAAAGCTTAAAACTATTTAATTTAACTATCGTAGTTAGTTAACTTAATTTAATTAAAAGTTAATATAAAGATATTTATTATTTTAAAAAGACGATAAGAATCGTATTAATAAATATATTATCGTATTTTAAGGTCTTAATTAAGAGCTAAGCTTATAACTATTACGAATTATAGTATATAGTAATAAGTATATAGAGTATAGTAAAATAGCCTAACCTATTAAAATAAAAATAGATAAAAGAGAAAGGTCTATATATAGGATATAAGTAAGATATATGTAATATAGTACGTGATAGGTACTTTGTGGATTGCGGTCCCTATCCTTGTTACGTGACAGATCCTAATCTACAGATACAATGAGTAAATGAATGGGCAGAAAAAACGGAAAAAGAAAAAGAGACAAAACAGAGGAATGTTCAGGCCGTTCTAGGCATATATATACAGTAGGGCTCCATTTCCAGGGTTGAGCTGCTATCGTCACATCGTGATACGACCGCCACGGAAGCTCCAGAACGTCTGCTCCTGAGCAATGTCTCGGAAACTTCCGCCTCTGCACAGCAAACGGCCAAGATGATGAATAAGCACGGCGAGGGATGATCTTTATAGCTCTTCTTCAGCACGAAGAAAGCAGGCCACCTCGGACTTTCGGATGAAAAGGCGAGACTTTACCAGATGCGAACAATACGATGACAGCGCCACGTGGACTTCGGCTCTCGAGTTCGACCTTCGGCGAGGTCCAAGTCGATGAATATTTGCATGTGCTTCCCCTTTGGGCAATATCGGCGCGAATATTTGGGGGCCATCGCGGCACCAAGGCTTCCCGCGTTCTTGCCTTTTGGTGCTAATCTAAACGAGAAGATCGGGGGAACGGCGTTTCGATCCCCAATCTCGGGCACAGTCTCGATCTAGTGGACTTACTTTCTTATTCGTGATAATCCCGAACCAAGAGAATTCTTTTGTCTATCCGTATGTGAGCTGATCTTTGAAAACGGTGTCGCGGTTTCCCGTGAGCTAGACTAACGCCACCAGAGTCAGTTGCCCTCTGGAATGTTGGAGGGGATGATCCAGCTGCCGTCTCAGCTCTAGGCCTCTAGGCCCTCCCGAAAGCGAGAGACACTTTACCACTTGCGGCGGGAGAAGGAGGGAGAAAGAAAAAGCAATGACTGCCTGACCAAGAGTCTTACGTCTGGATCCGATTTGTTGCCCTGCTGCCCTTCTCACTCGTTCCCACCGATCGAGGAAGAAAAGGGTGGCACGGATGGGAATTTTCCTTTGCTTTGGCCGTGCGCCTCAACAGACTGCATGCGTCCAAAGGCGCAGCCACCTTCTCGCAGCCACCGTCCATCGTCGACCCCAGCCGCCAGCTACAGCTACAGCGCCCACCCAAGAGTGTAGGCATCACTGTCTTGTGATTGTTTCTTTCTCAGCCCAAATGCCAAGGAAAACGAATCAAACTGCCTTGCTGCCCACCGTGCTTTGAGACATCTTGGGGTCAAGATCCGGCTTTCCTCGATGAGAGTCTTTGATCTTTATCTTTATAAGGGATGGCTAGTCCACCCACAAGCCCCTAACCCCCCGCGAGCCTTACACACCCTTCCACGTCGCACAACCCAAGGGAGAGAGGACCCCTAGACCCGAGTCTTTGGAGAGACAGGAGAAGAGAGAAAAAAGAAAGAGACACACACGCCCATAAATCAAACATCACGAAGCTCTTCTTGAGCGCGGATCGCGTGTTCCGTCGAAACGCCCAACATGGATCCCTTACCACAGCTATCGCCCGAGCAATTGCAGGAGGATAAGTCGCCCCTGGTCCTGGGAGTGATATCAATGTGCCTCTTCATATCGACGGGCATATTGATCCTGCGACTCTGGACCCGCATCCACATTGTCAAGAGAATTGGTATCGACGACTGGGCTGCCGCTTTCTCGTTGGTAAGTTCGAACCAAAGGTTGCAAACCGTGGCAAAATCCTTTGTGATGTGTTGACGGAAAAGCTGACTGTGGTAGATATCGGTATTAGGCGTCGGTCTTTCGCAGGCAGTGAGTGAGTTTTTTGCCCATACTACAATATTTGAGTTGAACACTCGGACTAATCAGCGGCAGTGACGCGGTATGGCCTTGGGAAACACCAACAGACGGTTGCGCCAGAAGAAATGATTGGGTTCATGAAGGTAAGCAGCCTTTTTCCAAAATCGAATCAAAACTTCTCTGACGTATCCATCTCGCTCTAGTGCTTTTGGGTATCTGTTCTCTTCTACAGTCTGGGCCACTTGTCATTCAAAATGGCATTCTTGCTCCAGTACTACCGCGTACTGGTGACTCACTACATGAAGAAGTACTACATCGCTGCCATGGTCTTCGTAGGGGCTTGGGGGCTTAGCGTTGTGATCATCTCCTTTATCTGGTGTATTCCCCTCGAGGGTTTTTGGGACCACTCAGTCCCTGCAAAGTGTCTTCCTCAGCAAGTCCTATTTTACCTCTTCGGGGCCTGTAGTATCGCAACAGACGTTCTCATCTTCCTGCTGCCGCTGCCGGCGCTGATCCAGCTGAAACTTCCGAGGACTCAAAAGCTGTACCTGCTTGGCATTTTCAGTCTTGGATTCCTGTAAGTGCTTGGCTATTGCGATACTCTCATGCTCGACTTTGACTGACTGATTTTTTTTCTTCCTTTAGCATCGTCGGCATTTCTGTCTTGCGCCTCCAGTTCCTAAAGATCAACCCAGACTTCACTTACTGGAACGTAGAGCCCGCAATGTGGTCCCTCGGCGAGCTTTCAGCGGCAATGGTGTGCCTTTGTCTGCCCCCTCTTAAGGCCCTCGCAGCTCGCATGGGTCTGTTGGTCACCAGGTCGGGGACTTCGAGGACTGTTCCCTCGACGGTCGACCGACACAGCCGAGGCCTGGCGTCCAACGCGCCGCTTTCGCCAACTCCCAATGCGGTCGAGACATATACGACGAATTTGCCCAGCGAGAAGCCCGGCAGCTTTGGCAATTACGTGGTGGAGACTGAGCGCAGCGAAGAGGAAGTGATTCGGCCGAGTCCGGCGCACATGGTATAATGTTCAGCAACAATATGGGACTTTGAAACCTACGATTTTAATGAGATAATGCATTCTGGAAGGCGCCATCAACAAATTGGGGTTCTCTGTTCCGGGACTGGCTGGATTTTGGGTACATGTAGCGTTGGGAGTTCGGGCACATCAGGATACCACTGGACTACGAGTCACCACAGATATTGATAGTAATAATACCAAGAAATCACTTACTCCAAGACACTTGAAGCTTGAAACTCAAGCCTCGAGTAGCTCGATATCAGCAAGACGCCTTGAAACTTAGTTGTTAGCGGGCTACTTAGGCCAACATTTGTCACTGGTAAGTACCACTACTATACTCACGTCGACGGGGCAACGGAGGATGACATCCCGCACGTTACACAACATTAGCTTCACAACACCTGCGCTAAGGCTACTCGCACAACCTAGTGTTGGAGATCTGCTTAGTTCGACTTTGTTGCCGCCGCCAAGTGGGACATGGTGGTGAGCCTCAATCTTTAGATTCACTTTACACATCAGCAACAACGGCCGCAAGAAACTAGACAACACCTCTAACAAAATATACGACCAATGCGACCCCTGATGGAATACATCTCCACATTGGTTTAATCGGCAGAATTTTGCCGAAAGAAAGCTCCAGCTTACGTCGAAGCCTGATCCAAGCCTTTGCAGCTTTGCACCGTTTGCGGGTCCCAAGGGAAGCTCCACTGGCGAGCAAGGACATCCTGGATTCAGATGCATTGCTTCCAATTTGGGTAATTATATAGTGTCATTGAAATCGCTCAAGTCCGGTGGTGCTTCCATTTGGAAGTCGTGCCATTTCACGCGTCATGGTCATTGTTCAGTTGACGATTTCTGTGCACACGGCCTTGAGGATGAGGCGAAGTTTGCAGGTTAAAGCTTTTTCTTAGGACAGTTAGGAAGCTGTGATAAGCTGGTGTAAGTTTGATACGTATTTGAAGAGTGCTGGCTGCCCCAATTTCCATACAGGTGCGCAAGGAAGGTAAGTATACGTCTGGTGGCTTACAAGTTACAACTTGCAACTCCTGAGATGAAACTGAGCCCAAGGACCAATCCAGGGTCACCTTTCTCCACTGATGTGAAATTATAATAGCTCCATCCGATCTCGTACACGGTAAGAAAGAAAACAACAATGTTAAATTAGGGCGGCTGTCATGATTCTCAGATATGGTCTCAATTGCCGATAGAGCAGGGAGTTTGACTCGTCTTCACGTTCCAGAACACAAAGAATCCCCATTCAAAGCAACCTCCCGGCTCCCGCTGATTTCGGAGTTTTTAATCTATCATTTTTCTAGTTTTCGGCTAAATTGATACATGAGGAAAGAAACCCAAGGCATTAGGAGAACAAGATTCGCTGCTCCGTATTCTGAACCAACGTTTTTCCTTCTCAGAGGATTGTTGTCGTAACTGAACCTACAGATCTTGGATACACTCTTGGAACTTCCAGTCCCTCTCTTCTCAACCAACTGCTCTGGTCAAACCGGTGTGCTGGATCTACTTCTCTCAAACGCAGAGTCTGAATCATTACAGGGACAGCTCAGCACACAATCTGTTCCAAAGTTACTCAACATATCGTCCCACTCCTGTATAGTCTGATACACATGCCTCAGCAGCTTTCGCAGGTAAAGGCCATGGTGACCTCTCGCAGCGGAATGGTGAAAGGAGCATCCGGCCATGTAATCAAAGCCTCCACGACACGTAAACAATATCAAATATCCATGAGTCATCTCATGGATCAGGAGCTCAACGATTTGCGCAATCGTCCACGTTCCTGCAGAGTCAATGTCAATGTCAACGCTGGGTAGCGAGCCAACCTGCTCCTTGACCACTTCCACGTGCGAAGCGCTGCCTTGATCCTGGCAAACCTCGTTGTTCTCCCGGATGCACACTTTGAGGTGCGACTGCACAATCCCCGTTCGTCGTCGACGCGCCGTCAGCCATCCTCTGAAAAAGTAATGGTCAAGCAGAGACGCCACCCTGATAATTTGAGCATAGTGACTTGGGTCTTGATTGTTGTAGAGTTCATGGAATCCTTCGATTAACGCATGCTTCAGTTCATCGTGATGTTCTAGGTTGGTGTAGGGGCCCAGGGCTTGCCCGTTCTCGATCGTGTTGGCGACTAGATCTGGAAGCCGATATGTGCCGTACTGACCTGGTGGGTCGGGTCCAAGTTCATGCCAGTGGAGAATGCAGGAACATAGTTCAGAAGGATTCGGAGGGCGCGGTCGTTGTGCCTCCATGGTTGAGACAGTTTCTTGACAGTTTTGTACTCTAGTCTCTGGCGGCGTTGAAGTTAACTACTCATGAGCTGGGCAGAGACCAAAGCCGACGTAATATAAGCTCTTTCGGCTTGAAGCCTAATCGTATTGAGTTACGAACGCGATATATGCTCGTTGTTTGATAGGCGATTATGCCCATAGACTAGAAACAAAGCGCCTCTTTGTCAAGGACTGATGGCATATGCTGTATCAAACTTTGTGTACTTGATGGACAAAGGAAAAACAATACGCATCAGCCATCTTCTTCGTTTCTCGAATTTGACGGTCTAATGTCTTTATATCTTTGCTTTGTATTCGACTTTTCGATATAACTCTTCCATGCTCTAGACACGTCACAACTGCACCATTGCCTTCAAGTCACTTGAGACTTGACTAGATCATACCGGCAACTAGGAGCAGGCGCTTTTGCAAACAAATGTTTTATATGCTCTCACATGTTTCTAGCAAACAGAAACTCTTATTTTTACTGCCCATCACGACCTCTCAATGTTTCCGCTTCATTCTTACCACTTCCTCCTGTGACCCAACGCCTACAAGCGCAGTGCCCTCAAGCGCCATCTGAGTAAACCCATATCTTAACCTGCGATTTTTCAACATCCTAGCGAGGTCAATACCGTCCATTCTTCCAGCGGTAGGAGGAATATCCATATATTTGGAGTCCCGCACGACAGTCGACGCGTATCCCAGAATCTCCGGCCCGTGAACAAAGTGCGTGACAATAGCACTTGCCAAACCTCCCAGGAGAAGTACAATACAAGACAGAATGTACAGCCCCATCCATAGACCAGGGACATGAAAGACTTCCACTAAGGTCTCGACATCGACACTAACAGTGGCATTGGGCTCGAAGGTGGCATTCGCGTCTACGCTCCCACTGGGGGCGTTCGAGAATGCTTGGCTGAGGAAAACGTACGAGTTGACCAGTTGCGCAAGCCGGTACCCAAAGTCCTTTGGATCAATGCTCGCCAGCTCTGGCGGTGTGTTTGTACCAGTCATGGTGATCGAGGATGGGTTCTCGAGGTAGTTCAAGGAGATATCCGACGTGTAGCTTGAGCCAAAGTGGTTTGTCGCTTGAGGCAGCTTCCGCGAGACGTAGCGGAATACTCGTGTAAAGGAGAGCTGGGAGATATTCTCATCGGCGTGGGTCTTCTGAGAAGGGCGCTGGGCCACAACACTACAACTTTGTCGAGCGGTGGCAGTAGAAGAGTCTCGCGAGCAATGCACCCTTGACTCTACATATTTCTGTGTGACGCCGCAGCGAGACGTCGTGTAGTCCGGTGGTCCGCGGGAACTAGTCTGCTCCCTCGCTTGGAAGAGCAACGTCGTCCGGTTTGCCACCACTCCCTTCTCATTTGCAAATACGTTGGGACGGTTGGAGTCCTCGACCCTGAGCCCGCGCTTGGTGTACCAGTCATAGTCATTCCACTGCGCATCTACGAAGTTGTCAAGCGCGAGGTTCCATCCTGATACGCCGTCTGAAGATGTTGTCTGGTTGAGGTTCCAACCCTGCCAGGTCCCGTTGGCGACGGTTCTGCAGCGGTCGGACATGCAGAGCGAAGTTTCGTTGAATATGACGGCCGTTGCGAACGAAGGGCCGGATTGGGTATTGTACGAAAATGCAGAGACGCTGATATTGTCGCATGCGAAGTGCATGTAGCTCGATTCCAGCGAAATAGTGGTGTTTCCCTCAGCGACGTGAGTGATGGGAACGCCGACGAGAGATGAGAATTCCATCTCCTCTTTATTTGCTGGAATGTCTTGCCATTCTTTCGTCTCAAAATTACCATACGACGATAGTGCCGGAATCTTGACATTCCCCCAGACATCCATCGAATCGCGCTTTACGGCGTCGGGACTAAGAATCAGGGCATTGTACATGGCATTGACAATAGACATCCGATTGATGTTATACGCGTAGCTCGTCGGCGAAGCATCTGACCAGGATGCGAACAGGGACCGGGCATCAGTGTCGAAGTAGACGACACTTGAAGGTGCAACCACGTTTCGAAGCCGGGTTTCGAGCATACGCAAGATGGATTGACCACCCAGAGGCGAGAAGATCCATATCAGAATGAGTGATAGCATCAGAAGATTCATCGCCCGAAGCTGGATGTGAACCAAAAGCGTGCCGCCGACGGTCCGGCTTCCCATCAGCTGCTCCAACGCCCCCATGGTGGCGCCCCTTTCGAGTTTCCAGCGGGCGATTTGGGACATGAGACGGCCTATGATAGCCGCGAAGATTATGGGGAAGAGGGTGGCAAGCTGGAACAGTCCGTGTCAGTATTATGACGTGAAGCGGGATCCTCGAGAGATAAAGAAGACGTACAATGGTGACTGCATTTCGATATTGTCCAGCAGAGGTCTCGTCGGTCTCCTGCCCATTGATGCTCAACACCAAGAAGGCAAAGATAAGAAACCCAACCGGGAGTACGACAGCACAGACGTCAGCTAGGATCACGAACGGCGTCCAGCTGACCTTCTGGAAATCATGTGTGGCATCACCGCCCTTGCCGCTGTCGCTCCGGGCCGTCGCCGAGTTGCTGTCATCCGGGTTCTGCAATTGCTCGTAGACCGAGTTGCCGCGACTCGTTGTTTCTCGAATAACGGGTTCTTTGAGCGTCTTACTGGTCGTGTCTGTGCCTTCAGAATCCGGATTTGCGATCAAAGGACGTTGTTCACGCGGTGCGTCTGGTGACTCCATGTTGACCAACCGGAAATCAACTCTGACATTTGCGGCAGAGGCCTCTGCATAGCAAAGTGTGATGCCAAAGGTCGCACAGATATGAATTCTAAAAGGTGTGCCATTTTCTTTTGGGACTCCACTGAACAGGCAACAGAATAAAAATGTTAGTGAGAACCTTGGAGGTGTAAAACGGAAGAGATCATGCATGAGACATCGCGCTAGCATCATAAACCCCTGGCTAACATTGCTAAAGACGGACGTCTTGGCACTAGGCTGAAAAATAACCACCCTGTCCGTGGTTCCATGGGCTAAGTGAACTATGCTTAAATTGGCGACTTGCAACGAACATGCTGACAGGTGATTTTAAAGATGCAAATTGAGGAAGACGACAAGTCCTGCGGCAGGAGTGTCCTCTGAGCCCAAGGTGGGTAGGTAGGGAGATGACAAACGAGCGAGTGCGGCTTAGGTCTACGACCTCATCAGACGGGCTCTGTCAAAATATACAGCAACGAATGGGAAAAGAAGCCATGAATCAGCTACCTCTGCAGACTCCTCTGGATCGTCTGAATTAAAGATACTTTGATTACGAAGGGCTGGTACCTGAAGCCTCCCGCCAATCCCAATTCCCTAAGGCACTCGCACGCATACATCAATCCGTGGATTTGCAGAGTGTGGAGATTGAGTAAGCGCTTAGTTCTCATGGATTTCGGGATGACTGCTAAGTCTTTTGAGCGACAGGAAGAAGGTTGGTTATGAAATGATTATCGACTAAGTAAGGAGTGCCTAGAAGTAGTAATTACAAGCCAAGCGTCTAGACTAGTTTCTATACCCGGCGATATAACGCCATTCAAGCTTGTCAAGTAAGTTTCATCATCAGCTATTCGTCGCTTATGATAACGAAGTAACTACGGGGTTAAGATGCTTCTTGAGAGGAAGCAAAGATTGGTTAGATGACAGATAAAGCTTGAGGCAGTACCCATACAGATGGTGTATTGAATAAAGACCAGTTGCTGAGCCTGATGCCGATATTTGATATGATCTTGTAATTCTTGTCTGTAAGTAAGATGGACTGCCAATTTTCCTCAATACGACCTCATACAAAAGCCACCAAAGTCCGAAGCAAGACGCCCGACTACCAAAAGTGATGTAGTAAGTAATGCAAAGCCACTCCATGCCAGCGAACAAGTTTAATAGCTATTGCTCGCTCTGTTATTTCCAATTCCCGACGCCGAGGACAAAAAGAATGTTGACAACTCATCCCTCACATAGGCTTCGCAGCGAGCCACCAAACACGCTGCCCCTTGCTCCTCGACGAGATCCTATTCCCCCTCTTCCACAACTCCAGCCCAAAGTCCTCGTACGGGTGAATTGACTCGTCCGTCAACCCGAAATCACGTAGTTCTGGCGCCCAGCTCTGAATCTGCCCCAATACGGCCTTCAGCAACGCAACAAACGCAAGCCCATGACCCCCGCCATCAGAGTCGCGGTGCATAATCTCAAAGTCCACATCGCACTTGTCCCTTCGACACGACAACAGCAAAAGGTAGGCGTGCACCATTTCGTGAACAGCAACCTGCACAATCTCTCTGAGTGGCAGCGGTTTGCCGGTACCGGTGATGGTGGTGATGCCGTCATCGCGGTGGCGGACCGTGCTCAGGCGGATGACGATGCTGGGGCCCCCGGGCCTACTAGTCCGCAGCGGCTGCGTCCAACCCACCCTACCCCGCGTTTGTCCGACTTCTAGAAGGACGGGGTGCGATACGTGGTTGATCTGGGGCGTCGGGAAGAGCAAGCCCAGGAAGCAGAGATCGTCGATTGCTTTCATGACGGAAAATATGGTGCTTGTCGAAGTGACTTTCGGACTCGTTTCGGTGCCCTTGTCGACTAATACGCGGGCGACGGTGTTCTTTAGTGACTTCTCGGAGGCGGACCATGGGATCGGCCCTAGCATGGATTCGGATAGAGTGATTGCGACGTCGTTGATGTTATAAGACCGTGGTTGCGGCAAGTGATCATCCTTGTGCAGTTTCCGCGAGTGATATTGGCATTGCTGTGGTAGAAACCTGGCCCGCTTCGATTCCGCCATGTCGAGGTGTAGTATAGTCGGCGGATGGGCAATCTTCCTTTCCCTCTTTTCGGTTCAAAGAAATGTTTCCCAGCAAGCTGTCATGTCGCTGTCATGTTCGTTTTGTAAACACTTACTCGCCATCTTGTCGCGACGGCGCTTGGATGCGTCTGTTTGGTACAACGGTCAACCGTCGCGGCCCAAGCACGAGTCCCCTCACCTCAGAGCGTTCACCAAGAGAGGCGCATGGTTTCAAACCGGGGGCTCGGTCAGCCAGTTTTCTCATCGTCGGCGATGTCGCAGAGTCAAAAGGGAGTTTAGCCTGCCTCATAGCGGTGGTCGAAGCCGTGCTGCCGTGGGCAGGAGTCAGCGCGACTGGGCAGGAGCGAACGACGAATGACAGTGTGACAGCTTGGTAAAGTTGCCATGCTAGGCAAGGCTTTGGGATAACAGATCTAGATGAAGAGGGTTATAGAAGGATGGATTACAATGTGTTATGATAGTCCTTCTCGCCGACCCATGATAATGCACCTGTAGGAACCCAACGTGGGTAGGAAACACCCGCCCCAAGATTGTATAGTAAAACACCGTCGCCATGCTTAATATGATTCGCCACCCAATGAGACCGTCTCGCCGTAAGATCCAGACAAAGGGAATAACGTGCTATACACATGTGGGAGACGCATTTCGGCATCCCCTAACGTATGACGGGATGGCCTGCTGTGGAGTGTTGTCGTAACTCAAGACGACAATACCCCCTCGGTCATCAGTACGGGCCCATTGCCCGTCGTATGAGTCATAAAAGTTTCGTTCGTGGGCAGATGATTGCCTGCTGGAAACGTAGTTGCCAGGGAAGAAGAGCCGGCCACGTGTCTCGCGGATCTCACCTTCCTCAAGTGGCTCCACTTCGTCGTAGTCTTCCTCAGTCGTCGTTATGGTCGTGGATGTGGGACTGCTCTCCCTGCTGACTGGAAAGTACTCGCGATGGTCATTGATGTGATACTCCCATCGTTCCTGAGATCTGTATCGGGACCTCTCGTAAGTCTGGTTGTCGTGGTATGTGTGGTGACGAGGGCTGAGGTGCTCTTGAAAGGCGGGGAAGTTGTGTCTGCAGGGCCTTCCCATACGGTGCACGTCACCTTCAGGAACATGGTCTTCGTCCTCCCGGAAATGGTCCAAATCCGCCTCCATGTTCCGTAGGTGCAAGTTGTCCGGCCCAGCCCAAAGATCAATGAGCTCCGCAATCCGTCGAAAGCCAGCGGTGTGTCCGCCACATTGACGAGCCTTGACGCCGCATTTGATAAAAAGGTAGCTGTGAATGAGCTCATGTAAGAAGGTAGAGATGAGAAGCCGTCGATTGTACTGCTTGTCCTTCAAGATTGGGTTCGATAAGACAATGAGAGTCTCGAAGCCTCCCATTTTAGAGCGCCGAAGGGCTGTAGTGCCGATGATGTGGTCCTTGTACTGGGCGCTAGATGCATGGGACCAATCCCAAGTGACGCGCTGTGACAGACTGTTGTGAAAGAAGATCTCGTTTGCGGCGGAGAAAATGCTCTCCAGCGCATCATTATCGATGGAGAACTCGGCATGCCGAGATCGTGGTCGGATGAGTGATCTCAGAATTCGTTCATGCTGAGAATCCTTGGTACGACGCCGGCCAAGTTGTAGCCGATTTTCGACAAGCCTAGCCGCGAGGTCGTCGTCGAGTAGCCTCAGATCGTCCTCGCTGGCGGCGCTGTAAATGTCTGTATCGGACGAGATGGACAAGCCAGAGGCGGTGCGCTCCATTTGCGATGAGGTGACATCGGCTTCGGCCGGCTCGGGCGTTGGCGATGTTTGTTCTCGGATCACTAAAAAGGACAGGTTCTGAACGGGAATCGATCCCCGCGGTGGACAAACAGGATCCGAGTCGGAGGTGAAATGTGATACACGGGCCCTTTTCTGAAAGGGCATGTCGTCGTGTGCGTACTCATGGTTGCCGTCGTAGATGTCGCGCTCATCAGCGTGACCAATTCTCCTTTTGCCACCCACAACATAGAGATCGGAATTGAGGGCGTGGCCCTCACCTTGAGAAAGTGGCCTTGCCTCCCCGCCGACCACCCAAAACGCCATTGAACATTCTTGAGATATTGCAAAATGGAAGGAAAGGGCGAAGTTGGTGGGAAAGGGCGAACTTCGGGAGGTCGGAGGTGTGGTGAAGTGTGGCAGGCCGGGGGGTGCTCAAGGTGAAATACGGGCGACCACTGTTGGTATGGGTGTCATGTGCGCCGGAACCGCATTAAAGAGGCCGGTGGAGAAGGATGCCCGGCGCCGGCGGCTGGAGGTTGCGTACGGCAACTAACGAGGAATGGATAGCTCGGGAGGACCATGTAAAAGAAACGAAACAAAGGTTCAGTTTCGAGGTACGACGAAGTGAGGCGAGGAACAGGCACAGCAGGACGATTTCTGAGAGCCAGTCTGTCTGCTAGACAGACAGCTGCATGGAGAGACCCAGCTCAGGGCAGGACAGCGTTGCATGGCCCGTCTAGGCCCCCCTTGGCTTGCTCATCTGCAGAATCCCAACCAGCGGGACGAGGGCGACTCGAAGCAACCGAGAGGTTTGGGTGGACGGGAGCCGGGCAGCGGACACCGTCGTACGAGCGGTGTGAGGGAGCTAAGACGGATATGCGTGTGCGGCGTTGCGCATCGCAGATTTAGTGCGAGGTCCATCGCTGCCATCCCCCGACCGGTGCAAGGAACGTGGCGTTTCCAGGCGGGTTGGCGTTGGAACTCGACGAACCTACACAGTAAGCTCTGGGTACGGATAGACTTCCCAACCTTGTCCACCGCAGCCATTGCCCGCCTCAACTGTGAGATGGTGCTTGTCAGGCAAGACATTGATAGTGCGTGCATGCATATGATAATACAGCAGGGTAAGGTTATGCTGCTGTCTCGAGTTGTGTGCAGCAATGATACCTAAACAGACGGTCAGCTCGACCGCTTCCTCTCTCTCGTCCAGTCTCACCCATGGTGTAAGGTATGAGGGTGTGGAAGTGTATGCATACGGAGTATTGGTATTGCCTTCTGTGTGCGTGTATGTATTCGTAGCCGCCAAACAATGGGAATTGCAAGTCCGCCCCAAGTCGATGGTTCGCCGACTGCACACGGGATTGGAAGAAAGATCCCAGGTCGAGGCATGCGAGGGCGGTGGGGTTCATGACAGGTAGGCGAAGCCATCGGGGGAGGAGGAGGCGAAAAAGTCGAAGACGAGGGAGCGGGTGTTCATCAAGATCTGGATTCGGCAAAGGGGCTGGAATTTTGCCGCCCATGATTGGTTCTGCAGCTTCGGTCTCAGCCGCTCATTGGTTGCCTCATCTCCGTGCATCTGTCCCTCCCACGTCGACTGTCGTCGCCTCCTTTTAATGAGGCTTTCCAACCCTCGGGTTTCAAGAAATTGCCATCCACTGAAGCAACCGCCCAGCCGCTCCTTTACTGTTTTTTGCTGTCGCTGGCTTGACAACTTGTTCATCATCCATGACGGCTCGGCGAGACCCACGGAACATCCTCCGATGCAAACCCAGTCGGAGGGCAAGGGAGACCGTGACCGGGAATCTGACTCCTGCACCTCGTCCAGTCGGGCCTGTCTACTGCATCCAGACAACACTCCTTGGCTGCGCCGCGCTGCGCTGCGCTGCGGTGCTATGCTATGCGATGTGTTTGCGATGCACCAAGGATTCCGACAAAATGTTGTTGATGCATCGAGCAACAAAACAGCGACCATCCAGGAAACGAGGGTCCAGTTGATTGACAGCGGCATTTGCTGGTGCATACGTGACACTCGGGGACGAAACAATGCTTTTCGCCCTGTCTTCGTCAGGGATGTGTCCCGGTTATTGAATTCGGTGCCGATCTTTGCTATCTCAGCCGGTATTTTTCAGGATCTTGCTTGTTCGCCTCTCCATGTCCTCCAAGCAAAAGTCCAAGTCCAACCGAAGGACGATGTAATCTCGCAATGCTGGCTTATGAGGCCCCCGACAAATTGACTGCTTGCGCCTGTCAATCTTGATTTTTCGGTCTTTTAGGCTCGGACGAGACGAGCACAGACTGCGGGCAGGTCGAACTCTATCTGCTTGACTCTTCTCTACGGCTTCGACGAGACTCCATGGAACCTATATCCCAACTCCCCCTCTTGGTAGAAGTGGAGAAATTGGAGGTCTTCGTCACTTTGGGGGATGATGCTGTGATGCCGTCCCAAGATCATTAATAATTCGATGAGGGGGTGCGTTTCGTCTGCCGTCGATCGGTTGCGCGCTAGCAGCTGGATTCCCACGATCAGCAGAAATCGCAATGCACAGTGCTCCGCCAAGTTGAAGCTGATGGGATGCAAGCTTCGATTGGAGATCGTGAGTTGGACCTGGAAACCCCAAAATGGTGGATGATGGACGGAGGGATACCAAGGTCTCGGGTGATGCGTTGCCGATGCACTAGATGGTCCCTGAAGGCTGACAGACCCTGAGAATGTTGAGGCGCTCAGCTCGTCGCAGATATCCTAGAATGCCTTTATCGACGCCAAGGTGTATGAGCTGGTAGTAGTGAAATCGGCCCATACATGCCGACACACGGATGATAGCAGAAGGAATCAAAGCAATGGCCATCTGGAGTCTGGCTTGCCTTGTCAGAAGGAGAGAGTCCGACAGGGTCCATTGACAGGGGTTTATCATGGGGTGCCTGGCCCACACTGTCTTATCGCTTATCATTATCACCTATCGCCGATATCAGAGCTAACGTTCTTGGGTCTAGACCATCCAAAATAAGTGGATCTGCGAACGGCTCGGTCGTGCCTGCTTCATCTAACGACATCTCGTTCCTTCCTTAGAATCCAAGTGACCGCGATAGGTCCTTCGCGTTGCCCGCGCAACAAGTGTTCACATAATCGCCATCAAACCTCCCATATATCCTTTTTCATTCCTCTATCTGGATTTTTATTGAACTCAGTGGTTTCTTCCTATTCACGGTAGTCAGGGAAATACCCGGATAGCACCGCACGTTACGACCGGCCTGGGCTCATTTCTTTCTTGTAATTTTGGTCTTCTTCATGTAGATACTTGAGAGCAACTTGGCATCTATAAGGTAGTGCAGGCATTTCATGCCTACCGTTGACATTCTCAAGCTAGAACGCATATGACATTCCTATTCAATGCGTCGATTTTCTTTCCTCGATACCGTTTACGTAGCGGTGATTCATTAATTGGACAGAAAATACACTCGAAACCAGTTATTATCCACGTCCGTGATGCGAAATTAATATCATCGTGACCTTTGATTTCTCAGACTTCTCGTCGTCACTATAATACCATTCCTGGTTGAAATGGCAAGTACCAAAGAGATCCGAGTAGAAGGAGTACTAGGCGTCGAGACCAACTTTGATGAGGCCATAGGATGTGCTGTGCTAAATAGATGTAAATCTCAAATATCTTACTACTAATGCCAATTTATAAGAACCCAAAGCCTCATACCGAGGATTGAGGGGAGGAAAAAAGACAAAGCATCCTCGTTGCTTGATTGCCTCGAAGGGCAGCTTCCAGCTGCTTGAGGGATGTATCGGGACCCACACCCTTTCTACACCTTGGGTCTTGTTGACATCTCGAGGTTGGCATCACGTCTGGCCGGCTGAACGTAAAAAAGTTTTTTTTAGAAAATTTCTGCACCGCGTCGGAAGGTCCTTTCTCTTTTCCAATCTCCCAGGAAGTCACATTGCTGGATTTCTCTTCCACAGAACGGCAGGTATTTCGCCAGCTTGCCTCAAATCCTCCCCCCTTTCCCGTCCTCCTCTAACCCTTCTCATCGCACAATACCCATCTCACACACATAACCTTCTCGCATTCATCACTCTTCATTCTTGATGCCAAGCACTTTTTGCCGATGGGCTAGCGTTTTGTCTGCTTCTTGCAAACTTTCTTACCCGTTTTCCCCCAGAGACGCGCCTTTCCCGAATTCTTTCAGGGACACTCATAACTATCGGCACCTTCACCTTGCTTATCCAACTTACTGAGCTTTCCGAGCCTTCACTTGAGGAGCTCCAAAACTTCGGCATAAGCAGCTTTCTCTTCACATCAAAGGTCTCGAGGCGTGAGACAGTCAAGCAATCTACGGACTCACCAGAGCAGTTCTACATTGGGAGCGTCATTGACAAAATTCATCCTGAAAGTCAAGTTTGTACCGCCAGTTCTGCGTACTCACATTGCTTCACCTTGACGTTTGGAGGAAGTTGATATTCCGTCACTTGTTCAACGGCTGCTTTTTTGAGCGCTTTCCTTGTCCCTCTCAAGACTCGAGTTTTCTGCAACATCACATACAACAACAGAGGTTGCTCGCGAATCGAATACTCTTCAACGGCAGCGGTAACTTTCCCACCTCATCAGCGACCTCCTTTGTATGGACAATCCTACTGTTTCATCCCACTTCTTTCATCCTTGCTCCGAGACAATCAATCTCTTTCGGCAAAAAGCAGACCAACCTCATCGTCGTAAAAGATGTCAGACAATCAAGGGATCAAAGAGGTGAGATACCTTTGTCGCTCTTGAACATTAACATTGAGTGTATCATACTGACATTGTCTAGCGACCTTCCAAGCGATCTCTTACCCCAAACAAGGCCCTCTATGCTTCGTTCAATGAAGCTCATCGACACATTGCTCCTCCGACTCCCAGGATCCCCATAGAGTTCGATGGACAGCTAGGCGATGGAGGACAGCTCACAGAGCAGCAAGTCGAAGACATTTTAAGTGCCTCCAACGAATCCTCTGGCCAGTCTCAGGACTCCAAGGTTCAGAAGGAGCCGAAAAGGCTAGAGCTATTTGCCGAACCGGATGCATCTGGCCACCAGAGCAAGGTCGATAAGCAGGCTTCGCCTCCTATTGTCGAGTCTCAAACTCAGACGACAGAACACGGCCCTCAAAGGTCTTCCTCTCCATACCTATCGGACGATGAGAACGCCTTCATCGATTGTTCGATTTTGTCCATCCATGAGTTCAAGGAGCAGCATGACCGACAGGATTCCATCGACGATCCTTTCGACAGCCAACATGCCGCCACTGAGTACCCAGATGCCTCCTCATTCTACCCAGAAGATGGTGATGACTACAGTCTAGCCTCCATTGACGACGGTCCAATGAACAAGATCAAGGTCGAGCCAAGGTCCTCGCCTGTTTTGGCCTCTTCACCTATTCTTTCACCCCCAGTTGCAGCAAGCCCCTCATGGCACACCGAGGAAGGAGACCAATCTTCCCACATTGACGACATCGTCAAGAAAGAGACTCCTTCTGGTTATTTCAACACAACTCACCTTTCTGGCTTGAACGGAACCCAGTATCCAATATTTATTGATCACGAAGCCTTACAGCCTGGCAACGAGAGCAACCACTTGCCTATCTTCATCGATCGTGGTGTTCTTCCCCCTCCCTCGATCCCTACTGATCAGCCTGTCCCTACAATCGAGCAAACATCTCAGTCTGAGTCCGACTATGATGGAGACGCCTCTGGGTATTCCGAAGATGAGGTCACCAACCAGGACAAAGGAAAGGCTCCAGTCAAGTTGTTGAACCCCTTCCATGCTTTCTCCAACGCATCGTCTCATGCTTCGGATCACAATGTTGAGCAGTCTGAGCCTGGCAAAGAGAAGGTCTTTCTACGCCCTCATGCTGAGAAGGAAGTTTCTCGTGCGCTTCACCACGTTACTGGACTGAGTCAGCCGTCTAGTGGTCTCATCAGCCGTGTTCGTCATTCACACCTTCAGAATTCACGGCTGTCACCTTATCACAGCAGCTCTGATCAGCAAAAGAACGACTTCTACCATGCCCCAGCTATTCAGCCCGATTGGCAAATCACCCAATCCGGTATCAAGGTCCCTGTTCCTGTTCCAGCATCGCTCACCGGAGATGAGTTTGGCATACAAGCAACAGAGCCATACGACGCCATCGATCACACTCGCATGGCCACAGTCGCCTCAGAAGATGCAGAAGAGCGGACTGGCTTGGAGGGGGATGAAGACTGGCGAACTGTCACCGATGACCGCGAGTTTCCTATAGGCTTTGTGGGCAGAGTCATGACTGGTAGCAGCATTGCCAACGTCTCAGATGCACTTCTGGTTCAACATCAACAACAGCATCCTGTCGCTCAACACACTGCTTCCCATAAAGGTCGTGAGCCCTCTACCACCCGAGCGAGAGCATGGTGGGAGAAGTCAACCCCTCTGCCGTCGATCCCCTCTCGTTCTGCCTCGCCTTCCTACCCATCACCTCCTGCGCGCGCACTGCAGAATAGACAGCGAAGACAAGACGGCTGGGAAGAGATCGAGCTTGACCCCATGCCAGCTCCCTATCCAGACTTCTCTTGGGATCGTGTTCGGAACGATCGAGCACAGTGCAATAAAGAGACAGCCCAGCCCAGTCGCAACGAGTATGCCAACTTACCGTTCCCCCTGGTCCCCCGTGAGGACGCAGCCAAGCTTCAAGCTTTCCGTCGCGCGAGCGGCCTCGAGGACCATACTCTTTCAGGACATATCATCTCCCCTGGTCTGCCTTCTCCCTCAAACAGTGGTAGCCATGTCTATCCTCGCCCTGCCTTGAGAAAGAACTCTGCAAGATCATTCTTCTCCCGCACCGAGAACCCAGGCGTCGATCGCCGTACTATCTTCATTGGTAAGTCCCCTGTCTCCGCGTTTCTATGCTCTACGGATCTCTCATCATCTATATGAAGCCCTCCCCTCTCCCCTCCCTCTGCTGCTCTCTTCCTCTTCTTCTTCCTACAAAAGACAATCTCCAAACCTAGGGTTGGTCACCCTATTTATAAACAACCAAAAAACCAGAAAAAAAACCTCGGCTTCAAACCTCTCCCACCTCCTTCCAAGACCCCTCTCGAACCCTTGTTTTCGAAATTTTGCTCGAAGATAAGAATCACGAAGTTTCTTCGGGGGAGAGCAAACCCCCTTGCTCGAAGCAAGTCCTTTGCTTTCACTTTGGGCTCGCAGAATTTGCTGGCTAACCTCGATTGCTTCCAGACCGCCAACAGCACCCATTTGGGCGGCCGACCCGCGAGTACTTCCCAGCCCAGTACTCGTCGGTGTCGCGCCCCCAAACCACCACCGACCAGGCGAGGGCGAGGGAAAGGGTCTCCACCCCCAGCAAGATGGCAAACATCAGCCATCAAGCTGCGGTGGAGGCCCTCGCCATCGACCAGTCTGCGGGCCGCCGGGCGTCTCCCCACCTCTACTCCTCCGAGGTGATGGAGAGGTACCGTGCCCTCCAGGCCGTCCGTCAACTCGGCGGTCGGGGCACGGATACCGAGCTCGCGGACATGGCGGCGACCGTCCGGGACCAGACCCCTCTCTCGCGGGGCGCGGTCCGCCGCCAGGCGGTCTTCTACTACGCGGTGATGGGGGCGACCCTGTTGCTGCCGTTCGTGGGGGCCGTCACCCTCGTCCTGTCGTGGGATCGGGTGTTGGGGGGCCTCACCGGCGGAGAGTGCACCGGCCTCTCCTTCCACCAAAGACGCAACCTGCGCATCATGCTGCTTGTCGGCATGGCGTTGTGGGTTGCGGCTTTCGTGGGGGGATTGGTCGCATTCCTCTCTCTGCGCGGTTGAGCGCCAAAGTGTTTCCGGTTTTTGGTGTTTTTGTACAAGTATGTGAGTTCCCTCCTTTCTCAGCACTCGATCTCATCTTGGACAGATTTCTAACTTGGATAATAGATTACGAAACTACGAGGAGGAGGGGGTCCCTGCCTACGGGTATACCTTTTTACGCCAACGTTCTTGCGGTTTTGTTTCTTTGGGGCGCGCGCGAGAAAGAAGAGATTGAGGGGGCGCGGTGGCGGTGGTGATGGTGATGGTGGGCGGCGGCGGCCGAGGGGAAGAAGAAAACCCCTGACTACAGGGGGGGGGGGAGGGCGACAACTTCAATGCCATACGAACTCGTACCTCACCAGAGGCCTCATAATACATACTCCGCCGATCCCGTATTTCATTTGACACTCTTCATGATGCATCTGCCCGTGAACAGCCGCATGGAGGTGTCTAAACCTAGGGAGTTCGGATTCGTTAACAAGTCATGTCAACAGCTGCGGCGCAACGAGCGATGAGATGCAACCTCTGGATATCACACCGATAAATCTTCAGCGGGCCTGTGGGCTAGAATATGCAAAGCTGCGCTCTGGCATACCGTACACAACCTGCAAGGGCAACAGGCACTTGTTCGATGGGAAGGCCGAAGCTCCGGTTCCTTGCTTGAGTGGGAACACGAGCTCTGACGCAGCTCTCTCTTTCTCTCTCTCATATATCGGAGATACTGAGAGTCCCCGGCCTGCTGGGGTTGGTAATACTGAGGGCTGGCTGCACCAAGTCGAACAAGATTGACTGTACCTTGCTCAGTCTAGCCGATTTAGCAGGGCTGTGGCAACCTCACATGTCGAAGGCATGCAAATGGTACAGGGCCCTCGGGAATCCGAGGGTACGAATGTCAATGAAGAGGCTGGTCACGAAGAGTACGCAAGTGTAACAAGTTCTAAAATGTGCTCACTGTATTATAGAAGCAACAACATGGTATCTAAACGCTCTAGCCGCCTTCAAAAGGGAAAGTCTACCCCTTTCGAGAGAACTACGCACTCAACCGCGGCGGCGGGTGCTGGGACCCTTCTTGGCGGGCGTCGAAGTAGCCGATGAGGAACCAGTGGAAGGGGCAGCAGGAATGGGAACTTTCTGCTTGCCCTTGGCCTTCTTGGAGGGAGCGTTCCAGTAGTACGCCATCTGGGACGCGAGGACGGCGTTGAGGAGGAAGCCGGCGATGAAGTTATACAGGATGAGCTTGTCGTCGACCTCCTGGAGGGTGGTGAAGATGCGCGAGAGGGAGCCGGCGAGGTAGTTGAAGACCTGTTAATCACACATGTTTAGCATCCGAATCCTTGGAGACTTCCTATACGGGCAAGAAGCAGTCGACTTACAGCGAATGCGCTGAGCTGCCCGGTGCCGCCCTCGGACCAAATCGCCAAAATCTGGGGAACCTTGCTAGCGACGCTCAACACGCCCGCGCCAGCCTGCAGGTATCCCAACGTCTGCATATCGACCAAGCTCCCAGCAAACAGTGTTCCCAGCGCAACAGCCAACGCCGTCACAAACACGGCAGCCAGGCTCGCGCGGCCAGTATAGTTGAGCACCAAGACGGTGATGATGACATTCTGGCCCATGATGAGCGCCGTCTCGCCGTAGGTGCTGAAGGGGAACTGGTTGCGGTAGTTGTAGGCCAACGAGACGAGGTAGGAGGCCGTCTCGAGGAGGTACGACAGCACGGAGATGCCCTCGCCCGACTGCGACGAGGTGAGCTTGCGGATCTGCGGCAGCTTGACGATGCTCGAGACGCCGACGATGCCGAGGCCGATGCCCTTGGACAGGCCGAGCTTGATGCAGTCTACATCCTCAACGTTGATGTCCAGCAGGAGGGACTTGTAGCAGTGTTCGCCGATGATGGAGACGCCGAGGTCGCGGATCGGGGCCGGGAGGTTGTGGGTGACAGGCTGGAGGGCGGAGCGGACGGCGTCCATGGTTGTGGCTATGGTGTCTGGCGACGAGGAACACTGGACAAGCTTGTAATTGTATTGGCTCAATCTATACCTCGACTGCCTTGGGATATCGTGTCGCCAGGCTGTATGCAAGAAGTTGCGACAGATCCAATGGGAAGGGCAGAGCAGTGAAGTGAAGAAAAAAAAAGTCAGCATATGTTGAGGGCCACCCGGCGGACACGTTGAAGGAAGGGTTGAGGTCACTGTGAACCCTGAGATGGAGGTAAGGGGGTAGTGAATTAAACCAGTCGGGGAATATCAAGTGGAGAGCTAAGCTGCAGGAGCTGACCAATCTCAGGCCTGTGAAATCCTAGCTACATCACCCCACGTCATCCCTGCGCAGCACTCTCCGTCCGTCAAAATCCCATTGAATCGCGATTGAACAGTTCCCCATTCGCCATATGAACTAACTTGGGATATAGTCGTCGACTTTTCGTTGGAAATCCCTCTTCACACCTTGTCGAAAGCTTCCTCTAAGCCAATGTCGTATCCACTGAACTCCTAGAAACCATGAAACCCAAATGAACCGGAAATACCGATAAGTATCAGTGACGCCAGCAAGAACCCGCCTATCTCGATGGCGACAGAAAGCCGTTCACTTCTTTCCCTTCTCATTCTTCTGGGAAGTATTGAAACTCTTGATGAGACCAGCGCACTTGCTTAGGTTTCCCTTTGGCTCCCATGTATTCTGGTTCGAGCCGTATCCCTTCCACTTCACCATGTACATCTGCACCTTGGTCTCGGGGTCAACGCGTGCGCCAACAATCTTCTCAACGACGTAGAATTCCTCAGAATAAGTAGGAGAAGTCGAGGTGCCTTTCACAGGGCTCTTCTTGGTAGCCTTCCTGGGGCGAGCGACGCCTCGGCCATATGTCGTCACAGCCTATCATGGTGTCAGTCTCAATGCGGTCTTGAAGTTAGGCATGAAGGTACTGCTACCTTTTTCTCAGTAACCGCCTTCTCTACGGTATAAGCACGAGTAGATCGACGAAGAGTAGTGGCTAACGTACCAGAGAGATTAGAACGGGTAAAAGTAGGTGAAGACGACCAGAACGCAAGTGAATCCACTCTTAGACTTACCTTTAGTGACTGGTCCAGCGGGAATCGGTTTACCAGTCAGTTTCTTAGACTTGGTCGAGACAGCTTTGGTAGTCTTTCTGGGACGACCGCGCTTCTTGGGAGCTTGCACCGGCGGAGGGGAAGCATCGTCTCTCTCAGTATCACTAGGACCGTGATCGTCGGGACCGTCTCCCTCATCAGAGTCGGAAGCATCCAGAGGAAGTCCTTTCTTCGCAGCAGGCGCGACTCTGTTCTCGATCGAGGCTCGCGCACTCTGAGCAGACCCAGCCAGAGGCTCTTGGCCTTCAAGCAGCTTACGTCTCTTGCTAGCTTTGCTGGTGGCGGGTTGACTACACTGGCGCTTTCTGCTGGCCGACTTCTCGGGGGCATCAGCAGGCTCGACCAAATCAGATTCGATCTTCGGGATCAGGTCATCTTCGTCCTCATTCTCGTCGCCGTTCGCTTTGCTGTATAGACCTTGGCATTAGAGAGGAAAATAACAGAGGCGCCGAAAACTCACGCTGCAGCCGAGGAGGCGGCAAGCTCGTTCTGGGTCATTGCAACCTCTCGGCCCTTGAAGACCAGTGGCACCGACATCGTAAATGGGGATGATCGTGACGAGATTCTTGAGTAGGATACCTTGTCTAGAAAGAAAGTGGAATATGGCGAAGCTGTTAGGAAGGGTCAGATTGAGAAACCCGTGCACCTTCGTCTATCCTGAGTCAGATAGCTTGGGTAAGGTAGTGATGGAAGGAGGAAAAAGCTCCAATCCAGTCTACTAAAGTTGGAAGTAGGGCGAGGTTGCCGAGTCGGAAAATCATTACCCAAGGAAAGAGCCTCAACGACCTGACTGAGCCGAGGAAGGTCCGAAGGGGGGACAATTCAGAAAAGGAAGGCAATTGCTTGGGAAAAAGATCCTCTCGGGCGAGTTTGATGGAAGGTGGACGTATACCCACGTCCCTTCCTTCCGCTCACACCGGGTCCGGGGTTCCAAGCTAATGTAAAGTAAGTCCGTCCAGCGAGCTGACCAGTTGAGCCACCTGGTAAGTGCTTGAATTGGAATATAAATCAGTAAACTGGATAATTCAAGCCAAAAGATGCCTAAGTAGCCACGGCGGACGGGCATATCGGTGGTACCCCAGCCTCGAGACAATTCCACTCGTACCCACAATTGATATTTACCTCAGTACTGTGCTTCAAAGGACCAAGATGCCAATAATGTACCGGAACCGTCCAGTCTTGATTAGGTGTTTATTACTAGAAGGTACCTTGCCTGCGGGAGCGAGATGCAAGGGCGAACAAGAAGTCTGGGATGGGAATAAAGAAAACATCTTGAGGGATCTTTGTGGAAATATACTTAGCGCGAGCGATTGTTCACTACTCACTATCGTCTTATAAATAGGCAAAAGCAATTGAGATGTGCTCACCTCTCTCAACCCAGGTCTGGAAAAGCGGGATCAAGTACAGCTCGCGGATTTGCTTCTGAGTTTCTACCAGGGGTGACCTTAAATTGACATGGCCAGGCCTGCTGGGACGGAGAACGGTCTGGAAAAGCCTCAGGCAGGGCTGGATGGGAACCACGTCAGAAGGTAGAAATGTAGCCAGCCGGACCTTCACTCATATCAATCCATCGCTGAATCAAGACCACCAAAAGTTGTGTCAAGCTAAGGTACCTTCAATGACTACGCCAATGCCTGATGCACGTATGCTATTCTTTGACAGGTTCAACCCGTTCCTAGGCTATGCTTCTTCTTAATCGTCGAGCTCCTCCACTCGCTTATCACCAAAGTCATGAAGTTGCCCTGACCTCGCCGCCTGCTCCACAGGGTTCTGGATATCAACGACACCTGTCTTCTTGAGCCTAATGATCTGTTAGCATGTGTCCGAGTCGTGGGGCAAATGCCATCTTGCCTTTCAAACAGGACGTATAATCTCTCTGCCTCTCTCTCCTTTTCTTCTTCTGTCATCTCCGGAAGTTCAACGTGTTTTTCCTTGTCTATGAACTGTCCCGTAATGGGGTTGACGGGCCGCTGCTGCTCGCCCGTACTGAACGCTTCGGCAGCACTGGCAGGGATGGGAATGTTGTTCTGGAACAGGAAGCCTGATGCAAAGCCGTAGCCGACGTTCTCAACAAACTTTGAAGCATCCTTGTCTGACATGTCGAAGAGAAGATGGGAGATGGCCTCCCGAAGATGAGGAGTCAGGGGATTGGTGGAGTTGCGCAACAAGCGCGACGTCAATGAGGTACCGCGGCCAAGAACCTCCTTTCTGTCCTGCTCAGTAGGAAGAAGCTTCTTCCTAATAGACGTCTTGGCACCGTCAGGAGCAACATCGTGCACACGCCGCAAGACACCTATCAGCGGCGTTACCAGCTGCTCCAGTTCATTATCGGGATATGCCTTCAGAGCCGCGTCCAGTATCTCAATAAAACGATCCGCTACCTTTGCGGGTTCAGTCTTGGGATAAAGAGCCCCCTGGACATCTTTGTCCTCCAACTTGAGATCGAGCAAAGCGTTGACAAGGGTATTGAATGGTGGGTCGAGCGGTTTGTTTTCAGGAATGTCATGCTTCCAAAGCAGTGCAATGATGTGTGGAATGGCGCCTGTGAATGCTCCCACTTCTGAGGGGCAGAAATGCGAGACGTTAAAAAGTAGCTTCAAAGTCTCGTTGAGCGCCATGTCTTCCATAGGATCGGCTGACACATGGGTCTGGGAACTTCCCAAGCGCTTTTGGTGCTTGGAAAGATTCTCGATCACGATATCGGCCAATCTGTGTTTCTGAATTAGAGCAAGAAGATCGATCTTGGTTCCGTAGGTGGTGAGGAACAAGACTCTGGAGACAAGGAATTCATCGTCAAAGCTGTCATTCTTCAGTCTCCTGCAAGCTTGGTCCTCGTAGCCAAGGTCAACAAATGTTTGGCGAGCCTTAGGATCCAATAGCATCGTGTTGGCCAAAACCTTTAGAGCTGCCCTTGCCGTAGAGTTGGACGGGCTTACGAAGGCATGTCTTGTGAGCATCTCGATACCCTGTAGTGTGTTAGTATCAACAGCACTCGTAGGAGGCAGATGGGATGACCTCTGGTGTAAAGATAGGATCAGCGTTGGTAGGGTCCCGCCCATAGATCTTCAGCTCTTCAAGAGCAGCATCACGCTCTAAGATGCAATGTCAGCTGGATGACTGAGGGAAGCATTGCATCGTGGATCAAACTTACGATGAGGGAGCAGGTTGGGCTTTTTCAGGTCGTCTTCCAACTTCTTCATAAGAGCAGTGACTGCCTCAAGTTTTGCTGAAGAATCGTCAGTGACACAACTTTATGGGCCTGGTCTGGTCGGGCAACCTACCAGGGCCGGCCAGGTTGGCCTGCATGGCGAGGGGCTGTGACATGGTACGGCGAGCGGAGCTGTGCTTGTAGTCGGGATCGGCAACGGAGCGGAGCTTGGGCGAGCCCGGCCGAGCAAAGCTAGGGGCACTTGATTTGCGGCAGACCCTACGTTCCTTGACGCTCAGCATTCTCTTCAACTTGGATGCCATGATGGGCAGCACATTTCAGAGAGGAATGTGAGATGCAAAGACAAGATTGGATTACCTTTTGGGATGACAAGATGGAAGATGATCACTTCCTGCAGTGGCGCGAAAAGGATATGCGGTTTAACGGATATGATTGTGGCACTCGATCTCGAATTCAAGTGGCTTGATGTCTGACCGACCTCGACGATTTCGGCCTACCCTAGGTTCGGTAGTGCATCAACCACAAAGATGTAAATCTGTCGAGCTTCGATTCGTGTGAGTGATTGAGTTTTCCAACACTCAGTCGACCTTGTTGTATGTGCAAGGTAGGAGATATTGTTAATTTGTTGGTGTTGTCGTTTGTTAAAGTGTAGATGTGGCTGTGGTGGAATGTCGAGGTATCTGGCTGAGCAAGGAGAATGAGCCAGATGGAAGACTAAGCATGAGACACCAGCAATCCTTCCTTCCTTTCCTCCACCGTCGTTACACAAGAAGAGGGGCACTCGGTGGCCCGCCAGGCAGTTGGCAGTTGACGCGAGCGAACAGACCGTACACTCACCGCAAGCCACACATGTGGCAGGAGGGCTTGTCTGACCTTAGTAAGCATCATGCTCGGAGCTGTGGGGCACTTTCCATGTTGCCATGGTGCGGAATACTTCTGGTAAGGTATTTGGAGGGCACGAGGGAAACTGCGAGTCTGCGAGAGCACTGAGATGGAGGATGGGAATTTGGAGACCGCGGTGGATGCCATTCATTCCACCGCCCCACTGTTTGACGGTCGGCGGCCCAACCCCCGGGCAACCAGGCAGCGGCAACGACTGGGGTACACGACAAGCACGGACCACTTGTTTAAGTGGTTTTCGCGCTCAACTCGCGTTTTTCTACGTGAAATCGTGGACGTGTTTAAGCATCCTCAAGCGCTAGCCAATTAATCAACCCGCTCCACCCTTATATCGAGAAGAGAAGGTCGTGCTGAGGTGCAAAAAGTCGTGTACTTGCGCGAACTTGGTACGGATACCTGACCAGACAACCCCGACCCCGTGTCCCAAGTCACACTCCGTATTCGTGCGTACGCAGTACACAGCTTCGCTCCTTCGACTGTCTCCATACCTCACTCTCGTTTCCGCCGGAAAGCCCACCTCCTCCCGTCACTCTCTTCCATTTGCATTTGCATAGTGAGCGAGATTTGTACATTGTCTTTGGTTTTACGCATACGCATCGTCATTTCCTTCGTTTTCCCTGGTTAGAGTCCGACGCACTTATGCGCCAGTCGACATAGAGCAGAGCTTGCCCGAGTCTGGTTTTCCCTTCCCACTCGACGGGAACCTCTTCGCAACCATGGGATCTGTTGAAGTTGTCTCGAGCCGACTAGAGTCGTTACCCCCTCGCCCACCGACACCACCTCGCGAGACCAGCCTGGCTGCCGATGCCACCACCTCGAAGCATCTCCTCGTTCTCCCTCCCTCCTCAGACCCTCGATCAAGTCTCCAGACTCCACCGAGTGTATACTCACCACTTTCCGGAGCTGACTCCACGAACCCGAGCGGACGAAGAGCAAGGAAACGTGTGGGCTTTTCTGCTCAGGCACAATACAACGAAGCCCCCAACTACCCAGGCCTAGCTGTCGCCAAATCCCGATCATCGCCCTTGTCGGCGCCGTCGTCAACCCAGCCCAAACCTGTCAAGGGCATCCTCAAACAAACCTCTTCACCGAGTCCCCTGAGTTCAAGTGTCAAGCCAGACAGCTTGACGACATCAGCAAACATATCAGACATGTTGGAGTCAACGGTGAAGCAGCTCGCCGGGGCAGACAGGGACTCGAAGCGAGATGCCTACACAACACTGGTGATGACGCTGAAGACGTCCAACAACCTCCCGGACCGAATCGCCCTTCAGTCTAAGATGGGCCTCTTCGTGCAGTTCATCCAACGAGACATCACCTCCAAGAATGCCACAAACGGAGGACCAGATGCGCCTCTTGTCAACAACGCTCTTTCTCTTCTCGCTACCTTTTTGCATTTCCCCGCCATTGCCTCGACGATACCCAGCGATTTCGGCATTTTCTTTATAGATCACTGCATTCGATCCTTCGAAGATCCTGCAACACCGAAAGATGTTGCTCGGCATCTAATGCAAGCCGTCGCTACGCAAGACTTCTCCGCAAAGGTCTTGACTTCGGATCGCGTCCGCCGTCTCATGAATGCCCTCCGCAACATCGAAGACAACCTCAAGGGAAAGAGCATTGTCATGTCTCGAATTCTTATCTATAAACGCCTAGTTCAACAGTCACGCCAGTTAATGGTGCTTCACTCCGATTGGCTAAACGACCTTTTCACGGACATGTTGAGCAGGGTCAAAGAACTGCGATCTGCTGCGATATCTCTTGGTCTGGAAGCGGTCTACATATTCGGGAAGGAGAAGTCGCTGTCTCGGAAGGTAATGGAGCTCTTTGATACATCCATTGAAGAGATGAAGTTCGCAGAGTATTACCACCAGCAACTACGAACCATGGCGAAGGACAAGGACGACAGGCAACTGACTGCTTCAGTCCCCAAGATCTGGAGCGTCATAATCGGTTTACTGCGCTGTCCTCTCGACAAATGGCAATTCTTCAACCAGTGGCTGCAGCTCATTCAGATGGGCTTCAACAATAGCGATCACCCCCAAACTAAGCAGGAGGCGAACTTTGCGTGGAACCGTTTCGTCTGGTCTATGCATACCGAAGGGCAGTCTTTCGTCAAGCTTCTCCCTATACTTTACCAGCCCTTGGGCAGCCAGTTGAAGTCAAAGTACACAAACAAACACACACGAGAGGTCGTTTTCGGCAGTGTGTGCAACCTCCTTTACTACACATTCAAGCCGGGAACGAACACTGCTCTTCTCGACACCTACTGGGACATTTGCGTCAAGCCCTTGATAGAGCCACCAAAAGCGCAAGCAAGGAACCCCGACGCCGTTGACGAGCATATGCGGCAGATTACACTAATTCTAACCGGTCTTTTTGACTCGACCACACCTCGAATTTGGAGGGAGGAGCGTATTAGAGAGACGACTCTTGCTCGGCCGAACGAGCTGCCGGCTATTGATCCCAAGTGGCTCCGACGCAATGCTGCTCGTGTTTTCCAGACTATGGAACCCATCATGGATAGACACTTTCTCGAGCTCTCGGATAAGAACAGCCTAATCCATCGCTTGTGGCGCACTTTGGTGGGGGCCATTGTCTCGGCCGCCTCCAAAGAGATCAAAGTTTCTGTCGACACCGCGGCCTTCATTTCCCAAGTGTGCGGTCTTTTGCTAAAGCATTGGGAGACTGGCTTGACGGAGATTGAAGATCCGACTCCTGAGATGGCGACCAAGTTCCTGGGCAGCGCTCGTGAGCTCATCATAGTCGCTGTAGAGGCCCTCGGTCTCCGGCCTTTCACCGAGAAGATGATCTCTCTGAGTCGTCTTCATACCTTTACACCTGTGTCAACGCCGTCCCATAAGCCGGCGAAGAACGCTGGTGACGCCCGGACTCCGCTACAACATCTGATCGGCTTGGTCTGTCGGCTTCCCCCGGGTATCCCCGACGGGGAGGAGTACGTCGAGTTCTTCAAGACATTCTTTGCACCTTTCTTAATCCAGAAGTCAGCAAACTCTCGGTTCGAGCTGGCACAAGAGATGCTGTCGGCTACTCCGATATGGTCACCGCCGGTCAACCAACTTCCCTACGCATCATGGGTCTTCGCTGCGGAGTGCCTATGGGCGACCTTCAGCTCATCCCAAAACAGCGCGCAAACAACTAGCTCAACAGGTGAGCCGTCACTCGGTCATGAATACCGCACCGTGGTGCGTCTCCTGGAGCGAGGCTGGAAGGAGACTCCCAATCTACCCTGGGAACCCTGGCGTTCGCTCTTTGCAAAGTTGTCGGCCCGGTCTTACCAGGAAACTGGTGAAGCTGGCCGTGCTTTAGGCACTATCGAGCCGCTTGCCAAAGTTATCCGGGAGTCTATCCCTACCGTTCATGCCCTGCCGCTGTCGAAGAAGACACTTCTAGCAACAACCGAGCTTCTCTTCGTTGCTAGCCACCCATTAGACAGACAGGCATTGGAAGCTGCCCGACGCAGGTTATGGGGTACAGCAGTTGCGGGACCTAGGTCACCCTCCTTCGATCCGTTCGATAACCTTTACAAACTGGTCAACGAGCTGATGGAACGACTCTACGAGGCCGGCGAGCGTGGAGATCTGGACGAAATTGTCACCCATCTTCTCAGGGCGTGCGCTTCATTCCTTTCTCGCTGCAACCCGGAGCTTGTTTGCAGAACAGTATCGAACTTGGAGAGTGGGCTTACCATGTGGATCCGGGACTCGCAGGGTAATTTGAAGGCCCGACAGAGCCCTGCTACATCTGAAGCTGTGAGTCTTACTACTAAAAGGAAAATCTACTTTACTGACCAACAGCAGGTTAAACTTCTCTGGGAGACCGTTTCCAAGATCATTTTGCCTAGCGGCAAGCCAGAAGAAGTCCAGCTCGAAACGTTCGAGGAACTTATCTGCGCTGCCTTTGAAAGCAAACACCGCCATATTGTCAACTCCGTCGCGGAGGCATGGAATCGGATTTACGAGAATGCGGAACAAATCCAGTACCCTGAACATCTCAAGGCCGTTTTGCTGGCTACTCAACCGGTTGTGACTCTCGTTCTTCCAGGCTTGGAGATCGCCAGTGTGGCGTCTACGGACCAGAATCGCTCGTTTGTAGACTCGCAGGACGACATTGAGATGCTCACCGTATCTTCCACACGTTCATCTCGAAAGAGAGCTCAGAAACCGGCTACACCCAACCACTCATCGCCTCTCAGCTCTGTCAAGCTGTCGCTCTCTGCGAAGAAGCAGCTGGACGACACTACTCCTAAGAAGGGTCGTGGTAGAACCCGGCGTAGCGCTGCAGCCAAGGCGCGGTTGAGACACGACGACTCTCAGATTCAGTTCGCGCCTATTGAGAAGTCTCCTTTGAACCCGGCAGCCAACGCCGAGTCTCAAGTTCTCACCGAACGCCAGAAAGAAATCAGGGAGAGGCAGAAGGATGCTGCCGCACTTTACCCAGAAATGCGGTCAAGCCCCCAACAACAACAGCAACAACGACCAGAGGTTACTGAGGAGAAGTCGACCGCCCCTGGAATGGTCGTCGAGACCCCCAAGGATGTGACACCTAAGCGCAACGCTAGGTACGAGGAGTTTGTCAGCTCGACCCCGACACCTCGCCGAGGTCAGACGATGGCTATGGCAGATAATGACCAGGAGATGACGGATCCTCCTTCTTCACCTCTGGAGCCCCGACCTTTCCCTCTGCTGCCTCAGATCAAGTCACGATCTAGCAGTCGCAGTGAGCTAGAGAACTGGCAGTTTAGTTCCTCCCCTGTGTCCGGTTCTCCATCTCCCGATGCCGCCGTCATGACCGATGAGCCTACTGAACTCAACTTGGCCGACAGTGCAATCTCCCAACGTGTTCCCGGAGCAGGCAGCCCGGATCTGTCAGCAGTAGATGACTCGTTCCAGATGGTTCCTTCAAGTGCCGTTGAGGAGCCGGAACTCCCACCGCCTGCCTTCGAGACCGCAAAGGAGACACTGCAGCCCGAGCAATCTCAGCATGACATCGCGGAATCGTCTGCGGAAACTGTTCTTGACCCTGCGCCATCGACCCCCAAGAACAACCGAGCGGCTGGCGTAGAGGAGCCCAGATCCGGTCAGGAAGTCTTTGTCGACGCGCCGTCAAGCCCACAGCCCACAGTACTTACCAGGTCCGCCTCGCGCGCAGCTGCCATCAAGGACCGCTCCTTTGAGATGAGCGACGGAGACGAAAACAGCATGTTGAGGCTTGTCGTCGAGCTCGACCGTAGGCGGTGCGAACTCCCGATTAACGATTACCCTGCCATTTCTCCTCCAAAATCTAATAAGGGTCCCAGAAGCGCCAAGAAAGAGAAACCTACAGTGCTTGACTGCATCACAGTTCGAGGTGAAGATGACGAAGAGGAGGACGAGGAAGAAGAGGAAGACGAGCCAGCGGAGCTTGCTCTCTCACAGGTCGAGACGAGAGCCCGCAAGAGCAAGTCCCATTCGCCCGGAGGACCCTCAACTCCTGTAACTCGGTCGGCCGCTTCATCCCCGGACAAGTCGGCTAGGAAGCGGAAGAGGGGCGGTGCTTCCAACTTCGATACCCGGCACAAGAAGAGGAAGTCTACCGACCCCTCAGAAATTGTCGAGTCGTCCCAGACCACCATGTCGCCGGTGCTTGGGGAGGAAACCCCCCGCCGTCGTCGCAGCCAGCGCATCAATGTCAACGATAGCCCTTCGAAACGCTCCGTAGATCTGGATGCCGAAGTCAACTCCCAACTGGTTAATGAGCAGGAGGAGGCGGACTTCCGAGCGAGTCAATCGTTCGAGGAGCCGGAGCCGGAGCAGACGACGACCATGACACAGGAGACGGCAGAAGACTCTATGGACGTCGATGTCGCTGATGACACCACCGTCGCTGAAGCTCCAGTCGAAGAAGCCGCCAAGGATGTCAACATGATTGATAATCTGAGCGGCGTTCTCGCCAGTCTTCGCTCCGCAGCACTGTCACGGGAAGAGGTGTACAAGATGGAGGACATGCTCATGGACATCAAGAGAGAGCTCTTCGCTGCCGAGGCCCGTGGGCGAGCTTGATCAGAGTTCTACTACCACTACTGACATCGACGCGGGATGCAAACATCCGAAAACGACCCGCTACCGCTTGTCATCATTTCCTTTTTTGTTTCTTGCTTACTGGCCTCGCGAGGACACTGTCAATACTCCTCCGCCACGCCACACATACATGTACATTCACAACGACGATGGGTGTCAGTAACACCCGCCATGCATAGTTGGCGTAAATCTTTGGTTTATGAGTTGAAGACGAAGAAGCAGAAGAAGGAAAGAAAAAACATTACTTGGTTTTTTTTGTTTTTTTTTTTACTTGTCCTTGTATGGAAAACTGGGTATAAGAAAATTCATGGCATGAAACTGGATTGAAGCTGGAGGAGGGGCATGGGAACGAGGAGGGGAGGAAAGGGGGGACATACCATCCTCGACTTGATCATGTATTAGATTGTTGCAAACGCATCTGGAGGTTCATCGCCGCCCAGGATAATGAAAGAGAAGAAAAAGAAGCAAAAGAGATAATGAAATGAACTGTCATAGCGTACTGAGTACCCTTCGCACGTTTGATCAAGTGTCGTGTGTGTCAAGTGTGCATATGTTTTGCCGCATCAATCGTGATGTATTCAAAAGGGGTAGTTTCCGGGCCTGCTTTCCCTTAACGCGCGCACCTGTTTGTTCATGATAACTTTCGGCCTTCACTCTCTCTCTCCACGTCTGACCGTCTAAATATCCCTTCTAGCTCAGAATTCTTCCTTTGGTTAAGTTTGTCCCGAGATTCTTTGTCCAGTTATTGCGTCAACCCCTCCCGCCTCTCTTTCTTATTCCCTTTCGTACTTCATCTGGTCGACGTGACTTGAACCCTTTCTCTCCCTCCCTCTCTCTCTTTCTTTCTCACAGCTTTCCGCTCTCCATCACCCGCCCCCGGCCCATCATCATCCCCTGGCCTCAGTTCGTGCTCGCCGTAATGACCTGGGCACCCTCGAACGCGTCGCCGGGCTCGAGCTTCTGCCACTCCTTGACGGCGCCGGGCTCCACGCACAGCATGTTCTTGTAGCCGTCCTTGGGGGCGAAGTCGGCGATCCCTTGCGCCTTGTCAACCCAAGGATTCCAGACGACGACGTTGTCGAGGTTGTCGCGGACGACGGAGAATAGGGGCTTGTCGCCGTCGAGGACGGTGACGGGGGCCCGGGGGCCGCCGGTGGGTGTGTAGATGCGGTCCGTCTCTTGGGTGATGGTGATGTCGCCTGACTGGGACTTTGAGGCGCCGTTGTCGACTTTGTCGGTGTAGGCGGCGCCGTCGAGGCCTTGCACTGAGATCTTTGTGATGTCCTGTTTGTTTTGGGCAAGTGCTGTTAGTTTATGGACTTGGAGGGTGGAAGCTTAGTATAAGGAAGGGTGGGTGGGACGTACATTGACGCGCAGGTAGGTGTGCATCAGAACCTGGCAATCAAAGGCCTCCTCGCCCTCGTTCGTGATGACCAACGACGTCGACAGCGTCTCGCGGTCGAGCGACACGCTGTAGATGGCGCCAAACTTGTACCCCCACTTGGCCTGGGTCTCGGCGTCGAGGTTGGCCGAGGACAGGCCAAAGTCGAGCTTGACGGAGGACTCTGAGCCGGCGGACCCCTCGCTGGTGGACTTGCCGAGGAACTCCCAGCGCGAGCTGCGGGCGAAGCCGTGCTGGCTCAGCTTGGCGGTGGGCGGGTGGGCGTCGGAGGGGGGGCCGAAGACGGGGAAGACGAGAGGGATGCCGCCGCGGACGGGCTTGGAGCCGTCGAGGACGGTGGACTCGGAGAGCCAGAGGCGATCTGCGCCGGCGGCAGATTTCCACGAGAGGACGGTGGCGCCGTGGAGGAGGACCTCGACGGACTCGCCGGTGGGGAGGGTGGCGGAGACGCGGGTGTTGTTGTGGGTGATGTCGACGGTGGCCTGGGGCGGGAGGCCGGGCGTGGTGGCCAGGGCGGTGGGCTTGTTGGGCCGGTCGACCATGTTTGCTGCTGTGTCGCGGAGGGTATGGAGGTTGAAGGTGGGCTTGGTGATGTGAAGATGTAGAGAGAGGCGGAGAGTCGTTGCTATGTGTATGGGACGATGATGTTTTCGCGGGGTAGGATTTCGAGGCGTTTGTTGGATGGAGATTATGGGAGATGCGGGGGGCGGCTACTCTTGAGCAACGGGATCGGTGTGACGGTTGTAAATATGCAAGAGGTTCTATCCGAGATGGGAGGAGAAGAGGTTGTAATCTGGAGGAACAGTTCGGGCGTTGGTGGAAGTTGGGTACAATGGTAACACGCAGCAATCGGATACAATGGCAACGGGTGGATGCCGGCTGCCACAGGTAGCAAAGCAAGTGACAAGGTCCCAGCAGATTCGAAAAAGTCGTGTGTAAGCAAACGTCAACCGGGGGGGTCTGTGTCTCTAGGTAATGTTAGTCAGGCACGAAAAAGTACCTTACGATGCTTACATAGGTAAGTCACATACTACCTTAGCTAGCAGTCTTGGGTCGCGAAGAGGAGGGGGGAGGTCGGTCAGCTTGCTGCGTTGGGATGTCTGCGTTGTCTGCGTCTGAGGGAGGGGGGGGGACCTGTGAGAGGGGGGCAACTCGGAGCTGGGTGAGGGGGAGGGGGAGGGGCAGCCCTGTCTAGCGTGTTGTAAGGCGTGAAAGGGTGCCCCGTGCTGGAGGGGACCTAGGACTAAGGCAATTGTTGCCCATTCCGTCATGTCTTCCCCACTCGTCATCGTCACACAGGAGCTCTTCCCTCTCTATTCCTATGTAGGTAGGTAGGCACGGTAGGTACCTTCCTGCTTCACTGCCTCTGCTGGCATGAATGATGAAGGTGCTCTTCTTGCGAAGGAAGAAGCTGCGACCAATTGCAAACGGGGGATCTTCCCAAGCTGCGGCACCTCTGGAGCTCCTTTTTGTTTGTGAATCCGAGCAAGGGGGTCAAATTTGCCCCCTTTCTTCTCTTTCGTCTTTCATCATGGAGCTCTCAAAGCCTGAAGGTCGCGAGGCCACCACACACCCCCCATTTTGTCCCGCCTGTCATTCTGAAACGAGCTTCATCCTCAACCAAGCTCCCCCTCGACCAGCCCCCTGTTTTGCCAAAGCCTCGGCAAACAACGACAAAACGAACATCTGTACACTTTTTGTATGAGTTATAGAGATCGTGATAGAGGCAGCCCACTCGGGTCATAGCCGAGTTTTTTTTTTTTAGTTTTTTTTCCTTCTTCTTTTAACCCAGAAGCGCCAAGTCTATGATCTCGCGTCTCTACAGATGTGGTAGTACCTATGCGTATACACTAAAGAATTGATCACGAATAGAGATATCTGCAATGAGTGAGCTCCTCCAAGCACCTGTAGTCAGCTCGGGACAAATCAGGCCTCAAATCTTGGGCAGAGGAGAGTTCCTTTTGCGACAGAAGGTTCTTCTCGGCCGAAACGCATCAGGGGTTCAGGGAAACTTGCACGAAGCAAAATATGGAGGACCGGAGCTTCCGTTTGGTTTCTGTGGAGATGGGCATCAAGGATTCCTGACCAAAGGCCCCGATGAATTGGCTTTCTAAGCTTCGGGTGCATATTGCTATGCTGGCCGACCAGCCGAGAATGCTAGGTATCTCGTTCCTGGTTCGGGCCACCAAAGGATCAACACGATTCAAGGCCGGCCCATCGAACGGATGAACTCATGAACAGTGAGTGAGTGGTAATAGTCGTGCGAATGACCCCTCTCCCATATCCATCAATGAAAACGCGAGAGAAAAATAAAACTCCCAACAGCGTACATGAATAATACATACAAAAAAACAATCATGACTTTTGCACCTTATACCCGATACTGTCCCGATCGTCCCTCACAACCCGTCCCCATTCCAGGAGCAACCGAAACAGGTAAATCTCCATGTCTTCCCTCCGCAGAGCCTTGTCCACCCACCGTGCCCCCTGCGTCGCGATCCACTCGGCGTCCTCCCACCGCGCCTCAAAGTCCACCTCCCGCCCGTTGAGCTTGCCGCGCCCCTTGAGCCCGACAAAGTACGCCACCGTGCTGTGGAGGGCGTGGAACCGCGTGTCCACGGGCACAAAGTGCAGCCACGGGATCAGCCGCTCCGAGTACCACTCCCCAAACACGGACGACATGAGCGGCACGCTGCCCGGCGATCGGAGCGTCCGGAGCATCTGCGGCGGCGGGGCCGTGTCATCGTCCAGCAGCATGACGTAGCGGTAGTCCAGGGGATCTTCCCCGGAAGCGACGGGCTTCTGTCCCAGCTCCGCCTTGACCGCCGCGCAGCCCGGCGCGGCGTCGCCGCACGCGTACTCTGCTATGCCGATATCGAACGGGAGGATGGCGTTGGCCTCCCGGGCGCGGACAATCTCGTATGCGTACCAGCTGCCCTTGGACGGCGCGCCGAGCATCATCGTGACGTCTTCCGCGGCCGTCGCGTTGTTGACCAGGTGGACGAGCCGGTGCTTGTGGTTCCCGCGCAGCGCCTCGTCGCTGATAGGCTTGTCGCCAATCTTGCCCCGCCAGTACACGCTGTCCTTACGCTGCCGAAAATCCTTTTTGTGTTCCGGCTCATCTTCCACCAGCGGCATCAGCGGCAAGAGAATATCGTTGAAGCCATCGGCTTTGAACCGGCCAAAGATGGGCAGCAGCTCCTGCAACGGCTTGACCGGGGGTGCCGACGTGTGGAAGCTGTGGAGACGGGTGAGGTCTTGCTGGTCGCAGAGGCTCTTGGACTGCGGATAGTTCCACATGAACTGCTCGTCTTCGTGCCACTTTACGCACGAGGTGCAGAAGTCGCGGACGTTCCAATGGAGCCCTGACCTCCCTGGGGTGTTGGTCGGGCACACGGAGGCTTCCATGTCCCGCCATGCTTTGGTCGATTCGTACATAGCCTGCTTGGACTGAGGAATCGCCGGTGAGCCTCCCACGGCCCTCAACTCTGCGTTTCTCTCAACGTTGCCTTCGCGGGGTGGAGTTTCACCAGCATCTCCAGCCGAAGCATCCTCTATCGAACGCGACGATAGAAGCTTGAACTTCTGCTTCATTCCCGTGAGTGTATATCTATTGAGCTCAGACCACGGTGTCAGGACCCGAGGCTGGTTGCTCAAGTTGATGGGCAACTTCATGTCGGACAAATGCTCGACAAAGCCCCCGATCATGGCCACGAGCTCGTCCAGGACCTTCCTGTTTGCGTCATTGCCCTCGTAGTTGTGGGCAACATGTTTGTTCTCGATCGTAACCATGGCGATATGAGGCTCTTTCGGTACTCTCTCATTGTAGGCTTGCCGGATTGCTTCTGGCTTAACGCCCCAAAAGGGCAGGATATCGCTCTCCATCTGCTCAAAGTGGTCGATGATGACAGATTTCCGAGCCTTTGCGAATTCGTACCATTTGTCAAAGTTGGGAGGCGGGTCTCTCCCGTAATGCCGCTCGTGGTACACGTCGACGGCGACGTTCAGGTTGTCGCTGGTCATGGCATGGCGCATCCATCGATCGGATTCCACTCGGACATCGTAGATGAGTCTATTGAGCGGGTGCTGTTTGACTGTTGCCGACTTCAGAAGCCCGTAGATAGTCATACCGACGAACATGGAGACCATGAGCACGAGGATCAATGCTCTGGGTATGAAGAGGAGCGAGCGGACATTGGTGCTGTACAGAAACATGCTGTAGCCGAGGACCAGGAGGTACAAAGGCCCGATGGCGCTCAGCCTGGATTCCATTTGCCATTTCCCAATGTGCATGATGTTTTGGGTGGCAGCCGTGAGGCCGCAAATGAAGGTGATGATACTAGTAGGGGTTACAGGATTTGTCTCATAGACAAGGATGCTCAGCGAGGTGACGAGAACCGCAAAAGCGAAGCTATCGATGAAGATGTCAAAGATGTACAGAGAGTCGATCCCGCTAAAGGAAGTCGGGTACCCCTCACTAGCGGAAACGAGAGGTGAAATGAGGATCTGGAAGACTTTGATAAAGACTCCCGAGAGGGCCAGAATGGTGCCAAGGGTCCTCAGACGGAGCTTTGTTGTCTTGGTCCAAGCCAAGATGCGCCAAAACAGGGAGACGATGACCGCGTCCAAGAACAGTCCGAGTAGTTGGAAAGCGAGAGTAGTCATTCGGCTGTCCGATAGAGCGGAACAAAAGAAGGTTGACCTGGGATCTTGCGAGATGGCGACAAAAGTGCCGTAGCTGAAGAGGCAGGCACTTCCAAGCGCCAGCGTTCGGGAGCCGTTTGCCCATACTGCAATGTCGTCGCTAATACTTGCCCATGGGTCTTCCTCGGGAGGTGGTGGTCGGGCTCTTTGGTAGTAGAGGATGTGATAGAGGACGAGGTAGATACACAAGAACGACTATTGGGCCGTGTCAATCGCGTCGTTCCCTTGATGGAGGCACATCCGCTACTCACCTGTACTCCCGGCACAGAGCACTGCAGCTGGGCGGTCACGCGATGAAAGACCTCGAGACGGAGGAAGATGCAAAAGATGAGCAACGGGGCAAAGTACCGCCGCGGTCTGGCGGGTATCGTCTGCTCAAAGGTGCTCTTCGAGCCCGCGCGCTCATCTGAGTAGAGATTTTTAGCACCGGCTACCGGAGGTTCTCTTACAGGGCATACGACGAAACATACCGAATCTTCCGTCCGCGCCGGGAAGCCATGCGGCGAGATAGCTCGCCAGCCATGTCAGACCTCCCGATAGCAGGAGTATTAGAACGGATGAGAGACGCGGATACTCTGGAACATCATTGCGTCAGCGGGAGAAGCTTCTTTCCATTTCCCACGTGGTGAACGGGGATAAATAAAAGTCTTGGCAGACTCGGCCCGTACCGATCAGAGAATGTCCCTCAACGTTTGAAGATATCCAGAGAAAAGAACCAACAACACTGTAAATTGTCAGAATTGAAATTGAGTAGTATTGCGAAGAATCAACAATCATCTTACCACAGCGCCGTCAGATGTATCTGCGCATCGCGTGCCATTGAGGAAGACTTTCACCAGCCCAAGTCTGGGTTGTCGTTTCGCTTAACAACGCAGCCACAAGTGAAATCATGCGGTCAACTAGAACCACACGAGTCGTTTCCAATTCAACAAATCATTGAAATTTCAGTACATTTCCTTCAGTCGTAGGAGGAATTGATGGACATGGAATGTGTACCAGCAGGCAGTCGTCGTCCTTCCTTCACAGGGGGTTGCCAAGTTGTCGAATCCTTACATAATCCAATTAAACATTCCCCCTAACAAGGCAGAAGACGCGTCCTTCCTGGCCCGTACCCCCTAGAACTGCCCCCTTGAACCGCGTCAAGCTTCCTACCCTCCACTTCAATCCCGACCGCTCCGCCGCCGACCCAACTTTCCGCCTTCCGTCCCGGCACCGACATGTGCTGACATCCCACACCACCACCATCCTCCGCCCAATCTCGAATTCCGCAACGTCGACTGCCAAACAAAACCGCCCACTTAGCCAAACCTCTACCAATCTCCCCCCTTAGTCCTGGAAATAACGACACCAACTCCCCCCCAAATGGCGCAACAATGGCCGGCATCAACGAAGCCCCCCTCATCAAACGCCTCGCCGTCCCCGGCTCCTGCGCGCTAATGGGCTTCCTCTCCGTCTCCTCCCAGATCCTCTTCTACGTCGCCGACGACTCTCTCGCCCCCGGGCGACTCACCCGCTCCGAGACATACACCTTCAATGCCCTCCTCGCCTGCCTCTGGTACACCTACTACAAGTCCTGCACCGTCGACCCGGGCCGCTACCCCTTTCCCGATGCCGCCGTCGTCGAGGTGCCCGAGCCGGACGAGTACGGCCTCGTGCGGGGCTGGTGCAAAAAGTGCGCCGCGCCGAAACCGCCTCGCGCGCATCACTGCCGGCACTGCGCGCGCTGTGTCCCTCGTAAGCAGCACCAAACATCCCTTCCATCCTAGCTTCCCCAAGCCTCATGTAAACACAATGTACTGACATCCGGTTCCTCGGACAGGCATGGACCACCACTGCCCCTGGACAGGAAACTGCGTCTCCCTCACAACATTCCCACACTTCCTCCGCTTCCTCGCCTGGACAAACTTCTCCCTCTGGTACCTCGCCAGCCTCCTCTACGCCCGCTTCGCCGCCATCTGGGACAACCGCCTCCTTCCCTCCTACCTGGGCCCCTCCCTCCCCATCCTCGTCCTCCTGACCCTCGACACCTTGATATGCTTCTTCTCCTCTCTCGCACTCGGCATCCTCTTCTTCTCCACCGTCCGCGGCTGGGTCCTCAACGAGACAATGATCGAAGGCTGGGAAGTCGACCGCCACGCCGCCGTCTGCGACCGGAACCGTAAAGACGCCGGCGAGTTCTGGTCCATGACGGGACCCGACGGGAAGAAGCTCCGGCTGGAAAAGGTGGAATTTCCGTATGATGTCGGGATTTATGCGAATCTGTCGCAGGCCATGGGTACCGGGAATCCGCTGCTGTGGCTGTTTCCCTTTGCGGGCAATCCACACATAAGCAAGGACGGCCATGGCGTCGGGTGGGAGTGGCCCGAGAACGGGCTGAATCGCAAAGAAGGGATGTGGCCGCCGCCGGACCCGGATAAAGTGCGGCGCGCCGCGCAGGGAGGTTGGCCATCGACTCGGGACGCCGAGGATATGGTGGTGCCGAGATACGGGAGCAAGGAGGAGGAGCTCGATGCCTTTAGGACGCGGCAGGACGCGGATCGGCGGCGGTGGCAGAGTAACCGCTCGCGCATGATGGAAGAGTTGGAGGAGGTGGAGGGCTACGATATGATTGACAGCGACTCTGAGGATGGCTATGAAGAGGGCGCGGATGGAGAACCGGGCTGGACGAACGCGGACGGGGAGCGGTTACAAGATTTTGGCGTAGACGAGGATGAGGATATGACTGACGACGAAGATGTACCTCTAGCGGAGCTATTACGTCGCAGGAAAGTCCTCCAAAAAGACGGAGAGGAGTGAGCATCACTAGTCATAGACAATGAATAAAAACGTGAACAGCAATTTTCTCTTTTTGGGGGACTATTGCCCACGGTTCTATACTACCTTCAATCGCCCTAAAACCAACAAAGAGGGGGCATCCAAAGACGGCATCTGCGCTGGCCATGAATCCCCTTGACTCCCGAATCTACCAAACAGAAAAATGTGCACACAAGACAGGATCAAATCCGCCTTACCATCCGGGGTTGCCCTGATCCTGTATGCTGAAAGAACTTCAAAACAGCTTTGTTGATCGTGAACCGCTTGCCACTCTAGAAAGCAATCCGCCATCCTTCCTCCACCATCAGTCCAAAGAGCAATCGTGTCGTGCAATCATGAAGCATCATTCCAAGGGTCCGGATCTATCGACCCAACCTCATCCCTGACCCTTCCACACGAAAATTCGATTACCAATCGTCATCGTCGTCCTTCTTCTGCATCGCATTCTTGCGAGCGAGCAGAGCATCCGCCAAGCTGTTGCCCAGGCTGGGAGTCGGGGTGTTGCTGCGGCTGTTGTCGGAGCCGCTAGCTCCGTTGAGACTCAAGCCCGAGTCGCGCGGCTGAGCAACGGCAGGCTTGCGTCCAGCGGCAGGTCGCTTCATGGGCGGCTGAGGAGGAGTCGGCTTACCACGGGCAGCCGCTCCATTGGCCGAAGGAGGAGGGGGGGGCGGGCGAGGAGCCACGACAGGCGCGGGAGCCTGCTCCTCGACGTAGGCAGCAGGAACCCAAGCTTGGGCGCCGCCGTTTTTTGCAAGCCACCAACCTATCGCCCAATATTAGTATTTCATCTCTCGATGGGTTTCAGACTGAATGGCTGCTTACCGTTGTTCTCCTTCTGGACGACCTCGATCATGTCACCGGCTCTGACCGTCAACTCGTTCTCCTTCTGACCGGCGAAGTCGTACAGAACCTTAGCCATAATCTTGGCCTTGGCGGGAGGCGCAGCGGGGGGCGGAGGAGGCGGCATTCTGGTCGCTGCGGAAGTTGATGATTGCTGCCTGGTATGTGAAGGAATTGAAGCGGCGGCGGCGGCGGCTTGTGGTTGTTGACGTCCAAATGGTCCAGTCTTGGCCGAGCTGATGGCAGCAGGAGGTTGAGGAACCGATCTTGCAGAAGAAGCAGCAGGTCGAGGTTGAGGAGTCCGGTTAGTGTTGGTCAGCCGAGAGGGTCTACCGTTGGGACCACCAGGCTTGATAAGCTTGCCACGGGTAATGGGTCGAGCAGCAACAGGCTTGCCCTTGGGTGTCGGCTTGGAGACAGACGATGGAGACTCGCCCGGTTGAGTGTGGACACCTCCACTCTTGTAGAAGTCCACGGCTTGCTGAGAGTCTTTGAGGACCTTGACCGTTTGCATCTTGCCGGGCTTCTTTGCGTATTCGATCACTTCGCCAATCTTAAGGTTAAAGCCACCGGGCATGACACGCTGCATCTGCGTGAACATTTCGGTCTTCAAGACACAGTTCAACAAAGGATCAGCCTCCTGGGGCGAGCCCACACCCAAAGAGAACCAGTCATCACGAGCCGAGGAGGCTCCAATGAACTTGATGGCACCAAGGGGCATCGAGCGTTCAACAGAGATTTGAGGCTGGCCGTTGACAAGCATCTGAGCAACAATGTAGAACTTGCTGCTGGTGACGATCAGAATACGGGGACTCGGCTTACTGGATCGGCCAAACTTGGCCTCCAGGATCTCTCCACGGCAAGAGAAGACAACCTTCTCGTTGTTGGAAATGCCGATGGCATTTCGAATCTGCGAGCCAGGTCCCATTGAAGCGTTGATTCCCATATAATCACCCAAGAATCTTCGGGAGCCGAGCAAACTGAATCTTCTTCTCTCCTTGCGGTTCTGAAGAACCCTGTGACCCTGGTCGCGCAATTGCAGGTACTCGGCTCCGGTTCTCTTCTTACGCCAGAAACGCTGAATACGAGTAGCAGACTCAGCCCTATAGGCCAAGTATGCGCGCCACATGCGCTGAATACGGGTGGCCATGTTGTGCCAGTACCGGTCTCGCATGTGCTCGAGCGCAAAGAGGGTCTCGGGTGACTTGATAAAGGCCTTTGTCGTTCCCATCTGCCATTCTTCCTTGGGAATGCTGGTGTCCTTGAGAATCTGCTTTGCTGCATCCTGGTACGAGCCTTGCCAGGTGTACTCGCCAGCGTACGAAGTCGCAGGAGAAAGCAAGAAGAAACGATCCACAAACTTCTCGAACGTCTGACGGTAGGCAAATCCGGCACGACGAATGCGAACGTTCTCTTGAAGACCAAGGTACTTGACCTGGTGGAGGACGTTGGGGACGTTGTATTCGGAGGGCGACTTGTTCTCGTTGGGCTTGATGGTTCGGATATAAGAAGGCTGGCACTTCATGAGAGTTTCAACCAGCGCATTCGCGGAGGCCCTGATACGGTCACCGGCGGAAGGAGGTTGCTTGCGGTTGTCTTGGTCGACTTGGTTGGGGAAGATGGTGTGGACGAAGCGGTTGCTGCTACCAGAGAAGAGGTTGAGCAATCCCTTCAGGAGCAGATCCTTGTTCTTGTCCGTGATTCCGTCCACAGTGTATGCCACGTCACCAGCATAGTGCTTGATGATGAAGCTGCCTTGACGAGGGGTCAAATGAGGGTTGGACATGCCGTTAATACTCTGCATGAAGGTTCGGTCAGATGCAGCAGGGTCCGCATGGGCTGTCTTGGTAGCATCCTTCATGGCGGAGAGGACACCAGGAGGGCGGATACCCTCGATGAGGTCACACACGATCTTGTTGTCGAAGTACTTAATAGGTGTCCACTGAATTTGTTCGCGTGCATACTCGTCTTGCTCGGCCTTCAGCGTCAACTGAATGAAGATTTGTTGCAGCTTCTCGTTGACGTAGTTAATGCAAAGCTGCTCGAAACTGTTCTTCTCGAAAATCTCGAAGCCGTAGATATCGAGAATACCGATGTTGTTGCTCGTGGCCTGCTTCGCTTTAAGTGACTTGTTGACACGTTCAACGATCCAGTCGAATAGGTTGCTGTAGATGGCCTTGGAAAGGGCGTCTCGTGTGGCGACTGCCTGGGCTGGGTTCGTTGGTGACTCGATGACCTCGCCGTTTCGCGGAGTGAGAATGCGAATAGTGATAGCCTTGATGAGCTGCTCAGGCGTCACCTCCAACAGGTATGCCAGGAAGTCCACTACCGACTGGTCGCTAACAGCGGCGTATCCGTCTTGGCCTTCGTGGAACTGAATGTTGCCGGCCCACAGAATAGCAGACAGCATGCGGAAGATCTCATCTTGTTCGCCTTGGCTGAGACCAATAATTCTCATAGCCTCGAGCGTATCGTTGAACTCGGCCAAATCGTCGATTCCGTCGACCTCGAGGCACTTCGATCTGCTAGTATAGACGTACGTCTCGGGTGTCTGGATGCCAAACTGCTGTCGGTAGTTCTGGGAAGCTCCCTTGGTGAACTGGTAGAAAATGTGGAAGTTTCGCTCGTTGGTGATCTGGCCGACGACTCTTGACTTCTCGAGAAGGTAGTTGGTAATGTCGGCACCGACGGGTTCGCCCTGCGCATTGAAGTGAATCTGCAGATACTTGCCGAAACGAGACGAGTTATTATTCCTCAAGGTCTTTGCGTTGCCAAAAGACTCGAGTAGGGGGTTGGTTGCCAGCACCATGTCCTTGATCTGCTTGATGTCGCCCGACTCTCCTCCTGAAACGTTGGCGATGTACTGCATGATCCGCTTGGCGGCTTCCGTCTTGCCAGCACCTGATTCTCCGGAAATGATGACACACTGGTTATCTTGATATGCCTTCATGTTGTAGTACGCAGATTCGGCAATAGCGAAGACGTGCGGGGGCATCTCGAGACGGTTCTTGCCCTTGTAGCTGTCGAGTACCTGGTCGGTGTAGATACCTAGGTCCCGGAAGGGGTTGACTGACACCAACACATGGCCAATGTAGGTATAGATCTCCTGGCCTTCGAATCGCTTCTTGAGATTGTCGTTGATGGCTTCGTTGGACACCTTACTGAGCAGCGTAAGATCCGAAACGCCAATCTCCTTCTTCTTCGTGACCTCGTATGTGGCCTTCTTGGGCTTGCCGCCGCCAGCCCCTCCGGACGGTCCGGCGGGGCCAGTCTTTGCGGATTTGTCTTTGGGACGTCGTGAGATACCCTAGAAATATTAAAAGCGCAAACGGTCAGTCCTCTTTCCTTCTCGCGGTCGGTGGTCGTAGATTTTTGGAGTCGCTGCAGCCGAATCGGAGCGGTGCGCGCGCGCGGGGCATGAAGCGTCTCACCATGCTGGGCAGTTCTCAATGGAGGGAATGCCGGTATCTGTTGATGATTTGCGCAAGCAAGCTTTGGAAAATTCGTAAATGCGCGCAGGTGATGAAAGAGCGAAAGGTTTGCTTCTCTAGAACAATTTTTCTCGTTTGGCTTGTTGCTTGCTGAGTGAGAGACTGGAAAGAGCGCGCACCAAAGGTGACGTTGCGGTGCGGACGGAGGGATTACGCAGGTGCAGTGTGGCTGGTTCTTGCCCGAGATCCAAATCCAAACGTTGGCCGACTGCTCTGTCCAAGTGGTGCCTGACGACCAGTCTCCGTTAGTTCTAGAGGGGGGCTTGGAAGGTACAATCAGCCAATCGCAAGCGGCATAACGACCAAGCACAGCCTCAGCCCGGAGAATCGGTGGCGCCAGATTCCGCGTAATGCCCAACATTGCTTTAGCGCCCTTTAAGCGAATCTCCACTCCTCATATCCTCCACTTCAGTGAGGTCTCTTCCCCCCTGTCCATCCCGCAGAAGAGCGGGAGATTATCTTGGAACCTTCTGCCCAAAAAAAGACTATCCGGATGTGTGTCCCTGTTCTGAATAACGGCTCTGAGGTCATAGCTTTTCTTACCCCTCCAGCCCATTGCCGGAAGAGGGGTCGCTGCGTGTGTGTGCCGTTCATAACCTGCCTGAAGATAAAATCTTCTTTGGTGCCCGCCATCTCAGAAATTTGGAGTCTATGTACAGCGCATAAGGTCAATTTGAGGCCTGGACATGGTTCGTCCCAGACTGTGCTCAATACTGCGCTGAAGTATTTGTTTCACGCTTAGAGTTTTCTAGCCGCTATCGAATCGACTACCTACCTACTACTCCGTACACTACCGGCACCTCGTGGAAATCATGACGATCCGCGCCGATGTCGGCTTAGTCGCTCTGCACGCTGCCACTCGCATTTTCATCACTCTTAATCAAAAGTCTACTTTGCGGCTTGGTGGGTTAAGCGTTGCACAACATCTTGAACAAAATCTCTTGCTGTTACTCTAACTGTCTTTATTGTCGGGCCGCTACGGCTTATCAGAATGGATCTCATAATGGATCCTCATTAACCCATGATCCTATTGCCAGTCATGAAAACGCTCGTCAAACGTTCCATCTTACATTGCCCACCATTACCCCATTAGCCCCAGTCCTAGGCCTCGCACGAAACGAACGTCGTCGGCCTGTCGCTCCAGAGCCATCCTCATCCTCTCGCCATACTCTTTCTCGGCCACTCCTACTCTTGCCTCTTCCTCCGATTTAGGCTCTGGCTGTTCAAAGTCGCTTGCGGTAAACCCAGGCTTGCCGGAGAAGCTGACGAGTCCCAGCTTCTCGCCTGTCCAGAACAGTATGTCATCATCGTTAACGTTATCTTGTCCGCCAGGCGTTTGCGTCGACAAAATCTTCCTCGCGAGGTCATCAGAGCCAGGCATAGAGGCGAATAGAGAGGGACGTTCATCCACCTCGCTGTGTCCGATCTTGTGCCGTCTCACCTCAGTGAAGCCATCGCGCTCGAACCACTTGAGAAGTCCCGACCCATCCGAGAACACGATGCGAGTACCCTGGTTGGCGACGGAGAGAATCTTGGACTGGGAGGATGTCTGCCGATTCTTCATGGTTGAGTTCTGCATGAGATCTGCAGACGAACCTCCTGGCCGTGGGCACAAGCCGTATAACTCCAGAGAACCCTTGGTGTTGTACTCACCACCGGCGATCAAAGTCCGGCCTCCTTCCCTTGTCTTCGACTCCAATACTTGTTCAACGGACAAGTCGCTCCTACGACGTGTCTCGCTGTCGAGTGTGGAGAATGGGTACGGCAGAGAGGCGAGACTAGCCAGTCGAGCTCCCGAATGAATCGAACCCATGATTGAAGGGAATGTGCGTCTATCGTAGTGTAGGATGTTGGAGAAGCGCCCTGCAACATAGATGTCGTCTGAGAAGGAGAACTCATCGCAAGCATTGGGCAGGTGTAAGATGCTCAAGGGCGTAGGCTGTGACAAAGGAGCATAAGGCGGCAGCGGATCGTCGAAAATGCTGCCTCGCCTACGTTGGAAGAACCCGCTTGTCGAGTCGACCGCTAACACGTCTATCCTGTCGATGATCTCACTCGGCGACCTGACTCGCGCCCTATAGTCGTAGAGATGGATTCCCAATGAGGTTCCTACGGTCAAGGGCAAGCCTGGGGCGGCGGAAGAAAGGGCTGTGATGGACCATTCGAATGTTTGTTCGCCAACGACCTCGAGACGGTTGAGATCCACCTCTAGCAGGTGGCCCTGTACTGCGACAAAGGCCTTGTCGGAGAAGCTGTCGACGCTAACGCATTCCGTCACACCAGTATCGATCTTGCGAGATCTGCCCATTGTCTGTGGTCCGTCGAGATATAAGATGCCCGCTGAGCTTTTCGCGACGGTGGCACCCTTCTGACCCCTTGTCCCCTTCACGTCCCACAAGCACATGGAGCCGTCGTCCAACGGCGACACCACGAGCAATTCGTCGGTTCCTCGACTCGGGCTGTACAGAGCCATTCCTCGGACATCCAGCGTATCCTCCTCGGCCCCGTCTCGGATTTTGGGCTGCTGCAGCCAACTTGTCGCAATCGGCGCATAGCGTTGTATGTATTCGTTGTACCAAAAGACCGGCTCTGTCGGAAACGAGGGATCCCAATTCGCCATGTCCTTGTACCGCTGTAGCTTGCGCTGCTCCTGTGTCTCCTCATCGTAGAAGAGGGGGTCAGGTTCTGTGTCACCACCTTCTTCCTGACTCAGTTGTACCGCAGCGCTGCTGAAGAGAGGGTAGTCAGTGATGTCGTCGTCGCCAAAAGAAGTGATGCGCCGTCGTCTCTGTAAAGCCTCTGAAAATGGCGACTCGTCAAATGTCCTAGATCGCCAGTGATTGTTGTCGAGGGAAATCTTCTGGAGCTTTCGGCATACGAGCTGCAGACCGGGGAAGTCGTAGGGCTCTAGGACTGAGGGGCACCGAGCCGTCAGCTGGGAAGTCCGGTAGCACGCCTCTTGGCAGAAACAGAAAGGCTTACTCACAGGAAAGAACGCGCAGCAGGATCTCATCTGGAAGCTCTTCCAGCTTCTTAGGGGGCGCCGACGACACCATTGTGCCGAGGGGTTTTGGGAAAGAGACTCTCGAGTACTCTGTAGTCTTGTTGATTATACTTCTGACTGGTTTCGGGGAGATAGAGGGGAGCCCGGACGGGATCCATGGAGAAGAGGGTCGAAGGATGATCCCATCGTTATCGTTATCGGGTATTGCCTGCCCTCTAGCCTATCATGGATTAGTGCAGATCCGGGGGTGGACCGGATAGAAACGCCTGGACTCTTGAGTGGGCTGACCTGTCAAAGCTCCGGGCCAGTCGGGCTGCTTGGGCTTTTTTTCGTTTCTCGCTTCCACCTGCGCAGCGTTCAAAACATATGTGGTCAGGATGCTTTTGGCTTTCGTTTCCTGGCCAAAACGCTTCCTTTTAGACTCCTGCTCCGTCTTTTCTCCACCTATTAGGCAATTTGATTGCTGCAAGATCAAGGAAGGTGGTGACTGAGTAAGATTCTACGCAGCACAGCCACGTCTCTGTGAAACGGACTATTATACTGGGATAATTGTAGACCCGTCTCTTCCCGCTCTTGAGAGCCGTTCCTACTGCAATTACGAGAGGCTTGATAAGCAGCCGATGCCGTGAGCCATTCTGGTGATTCACAATGATTCTAAATCCGATTGTCGAATTGCTTCATAAGTATATATAAAATCCTAGTACAGGCTATTGTTAGTATTTGCTCGCCGGAATTTCACTTTTTTTTTCCCCCCTTTCTTTTATTTTCTTTTTTTTCCCCCTAAACGTATACATCGATACCTAGCATCAGGATGGCCTGAAGAATTTAGTAAAAACTAGCCCAGACAATCGGATTGGGTCACACGGCCGTCCAGGATGAATTTATCTATCGTACATTTCTCTTCAATAAGGTGGGATAGTTGTCGTTACACTGTGAACTCTACCGTAGCTATTGGTTCATTAGAGGACACTGGAAACCCAGTAGAGTATTCATTTAAATAACAACGACTATGAGATATCTTAGAAGTGAGTTGTGAGGGATAAGCGGAGAACACTAGTGGATGTCGAGACATGATTCTAGGTAATGATATAGTAGTATAAAGGCTAAACATCATTTACCAGCTCAAATATATAATATGATTGCAAGTTTCACAGAACTGGATGTCGAGGTAACTTTAAACATGTCTATTGACCACCCTCTTCTTCCATCCTCCTTCTTAGGCTCAAACTCCATGCATGCGCTTTCACAACTACAGGCAGTCGCGTGTTTCTTTCTGTCTCAAACTAGGTAATCAAGAACGTTCAAACAGTTTCGACTAGGTCTCGGGCCTACTCTTCAGTTGCTTAGACACTCCAGCTTCTTTTCCATACTAATGGCTGCAAGATCAATCATACAGTGACAGCTCACGCATACTGGCGGTAATAGCCATCTGCTTCTTGGTGATAGGCCGATCTTGGCCACCCTTGGTGCCGTCATGTGGTGCAGAATCTGAGTTGACGGCATGTAGATTGCACACATCTGTAATGTCGCTGCCTACAAGAACCTCACAATTTCCTGTCTCAGGAGCGAAAGTTCAATCCAAACCCTTGATTGTCCCCTCCACTTGTAGCATGGCAACATCACAGGGCTCGGTGTTAGTGACCAATTTGATCTTGAACGGTTGATATAAGTCCATCAGCAGTTTCTTATGGTACGCTCTCATTGTTGCTGTCTTCGCGATTACAGCATGATCGACAGTTCTCATAGTAATCGCTTATCACGTATCAAAATTCGATGCAAATTTGGTTTCTCACATAAAGAGATAGAGAACAGAGCGAGAAGACTTGTCCAATATCAACACAACTACACAATCTTGCAGATCAAATGATCTTTGGACACGAAGCGAGGCATCATGGCTCGATCTGGATATTATGTGGACGAGGCCAATGGTGTCGAGCAGGCATCCAATTAAGTTTATTTTTTGTTGTTATATTCTTCCCCAAAGTACTTTACAGCAATGTACTTGGTAATTAGACTATCCTTACATTTGCAGATACGCCGCTGGCCACCAGTGTTTCCATCATCTTGAGCGGATACTATGCTCTCACGTAAGGCTTGTCGGCTTATCAATGACAAACGCTGCTTTGAATCGCATCACATTGCACGCTAGTTCTTGACCGAGGCCTATGTCTCAGCATTAGCTTTCTCATGAACCTATCTAAGAAAAATCATTCCTCTTGACATTCATGTCAAGCGCTACTCATGCGTCTCTTTGCCATTTCACTATCAATTGGATTGATAATTCTATACCTACAGGTCATTTCGCCTTCATCACCAGACACACATTCTCATCTTGGTTATCTCCCAACACATTAGTTTGCATAGACCTGAGAAATCTTAATAATTCATTTGTTAAATTGGCAGATTGCCCTGAACTCAAGAATTACAATCAAAGAGACTTGCCTTGCTGACTATCACACAGTCGGCACTTCATCCATAGGATACTATGTAGGTCATTGTTGCTAGAGTTCGTACACTTGTTCAGTGAAGGGCAAGCCCGTTGATCAGTCTAAACATCTATATCAGGTAGTAACACTGGATTCTCGGAATGAAACTGATGATGAACACAAAGTAGGTTCACCTGGAGTCCTTCCCGGGTCTCTAGCAATATCCTTCTTCTTTGGGGATGTGACGACGAAGAGTGAATCGTACTTTTCTCTAGTTGTGTCACTTGCTTTATCAACTAATACATATACCATCAGTATTGTAGCTTTTCATGCTTTTCCAAAGGGTTCTTGATACAAAACTAATTTCATATATCCAGGTCCTCCCCACGCGTAGAAGTGAGGATTATCGACAAAAGCCCCGCCGAGAGCCATTTTGCTAACTTCGTTGTGTTGAGAACTTCACACAGCAAGTCTCCGTACCCATATCATACATTATGTATACTACTGCAATCATACACTTCCATGCTATGAAAACAGCCAAGATAGGCCCAAGACTTTCCCTGTGACTTTACACGAACGGAGCGTCTGATCAATAATCACTAAACATTTCAACTTCTTCGTGATTTATATATTTATAATCTGGGGTCTGATCATGGTTGTTAGTAAACGCGGGATGAAAAGACTTGAAGCTACTTATGGGGAATTCAGTCATTCCATCTCTCTTCTTCTCGTTTCTAGTTCCTTGACCCGGCTAGCTGTTTGAACCGCCCGTCCAGGGAATTTCCGCCAACGAAGACAACCAAGTTACCGAACATCCGCGTAACTCCTTCAGACGCACCTGACTCAAGCCCTCATGCACGAAGAAAACTAGAGATACTTTCCTCGGAACACTTGAACTAAAGTAAAATTTGCCATTGAGATGTTCGCACATTTCAGTGATGGCTTCACACCAATTCTGTTCCGCAATAAGGGGGTCTAATACCCGGAGACCATAACGCGTAGTAGGTTATATTCCCCGCTGTGAAACTCTCCACTTTTAAGGTTCGACACGCTGTACATGGAAGTTGAGTGAAGATGTACGTTTGGATTTGAAGTCGCAGACCATTCTTTTGACAGGTGGGATCGCCTCACCCAGCAGCTCGCCCTAACGATGCGGCTCCAGACTGATAAGAGTGCGTTACGCTATAGCTATCCTATAGAGACCATGGTAGGTGTTGATGACATTTCGAGCTCACCCATCAGAGAGCTTCACAGGAGGGGGGAATATAGTGAAAGCATCTCGGTCTGTACTCAGTTCCGTGGCCTCGCAGTGTACTCATGTAAGATACCAAGGGTCCGAGAAGACTACCCGCACCGTGTCCGACTGTAGCCACTATACTATTGTGACTCTCAGCCTCATAGAATGTACTGATGATATGGTGGTATACACGTCAGCCGGGTAATCGTACGGTTAGTACGCATGTTGTTGTTGCGTGTGGAGGTCGAATGAGGAGGAAATGGGCGAAGTCCACGATCCCTTAGAAGTGGGATGTAACAAATGGAAGGGTTCGCTCGTACGGTCCATCCTGTTTTCCCAATCCATCCTATATGCCGGCTGATTAACGTCCAACACGATGGCCTCGCTGCCCGCAAGTTCGATGGTCTCTCCGCCTACAAAGATAGCTTCAGGAGATTTCTGGTCACGTCAAAGCTTTTCTTGCGTCCTACAGGATCAGATATTGCGCACTGCGATCACGCATTTGTGACTATCATTCATGCCGTCGGGAGGCTATTTGAAGCCGAAATTTCGGCCGCCAGTTCCATAAACTCCCAAGAACTCAGATTTACTGTCTGGAGTCTGATGCAATCCTTCGAGGGGCGCCGCTCTCAAAACCGGTTTTTCATCACTGTTTTCGGAAGAACTGGCTGAGAGCTCAGAGGATTCGACGGCACCAAATTGGAAGTACCTAGGTACTTCATCTAGGTACTTCGTGTATCTTGGCCAAGAGGGGTTTACCCACTTCGATCCTGCTGTGTTGGTTCTGAGGGGTGGAACCACCCACGATTCCTCGGAGCATCGCGACAGAAGGTGCCAGAGAACCCGGAACCTCTTCCTCCCCTCTCAAGTGAAACTGCAATGCTTCTTTCCTACAGTTGACGACAGGAGTTCACTTCATAAGGGACAATTCTGCGCGAAATCTTCAACACAGTCCAGTCTCGATGAAGAGAATCGAGTCGAAGCGGCAGCTGGCATTCTGGTCCGAGATGAGTATCTTGCGTCTGAGGGATGATATTTTTTGTGATTTTCTGAAGATGGAACTAGACTGTCCTTGTCTTTTGTACTTTTTGAGAAATTTCCGCAAACCCCACTCGATGTAGTCGATATTGGTACCAAAAGGTGTGGCTAACTTTTCACTTTGTCAAAGGTTAGGGCCACCAGTTTGTACGGGTGAACCATACAGAGCAAAGCTGGATCAAATGCTTCGCATCATGGATGCTTCGAACCAAGAACAGAAGAATTGGCAATATCTACATACTCTAACCAGCTCGACGAAAAGCTCCCGCACGGTCTCAGACACAGTAAGGGCTTTGCTTCTGCTTGTCTGTGGCAGGAGTGTCAGTCAGTGCTGCTTCTCGAGATAGTCTG